TTAGCTATAGAATAATAAATTAAAGATTATAATTTTAAGAATAAAGAATAAGTAAAAAGTAAGAATTATTAGTTTTTTATTAAGATAGGTAGTTAATCTGCCTTATAAAGAAAGGAGCTATAACTAGTAACTAATAAAGGAAATTCTACCTGCTCTCAATATATAACTATATAATAAATCCATGATAAAACTGTAATGCTGCATTAGCCTACATCACTCAAGAGGGCGATGAATCATATTCAACCCTCATTTCACTACTTTTTCTGTCGCTTGATTCGTCACAGGCTGTGTCAAGCTCTGTTTCAAGCTCAATCACTCTGCGTAATTCATCGGACCATTCAAATCCAGCGTATTGGAGTCTGCATGGCCCAAGTCGCCCTTCCTCAGCTGGTGCTCTTAGAATATCTTCTAGCTCTACTTGCTCCAGAACCTTGGGGTCATCGGTAAGACTAATAATTGATTGGCGCACTTGTTCAAGCTTCGCATCCGGCTTGTCAAGAGGGATGGTAGGGTCGAATATCACGTGGGTGATGTCCTGAAAGGGCGTGTGGTCAATGACCCGATACCAACGAGCTTTCTCCGGGCTAGTGATGTGAATGAAGGCAATGCGCGGGACAGAATTGGTAATTTGACCGCGAATCTTGTGTAACTGCGCCGTCATCTTGTCCGGGCAGTGTGTTAAAAGTCCGTCCAAAGCGTGCTTTATCAGAAAGGACGTGTTCAACATGAAGAGCGGGCTTACGATTGCAGCGTCCCGCATGTCTGCTAATTGGTCAATCGAGCGGACACAATGTAATCTCCCTCCTGGATAGATCTCGACTGTTGTCACCAGCCCCACCTGGTATAGGGTCGTTGGGCGGCTCATGAGGGCGACGAGTGTCTGTGCAAACATCGGCTCAAAATGCTCATTACGCGCTGTGCGCTCCGTCCTCCAATCCAACCCCCACATCAGTGATTTTTGACCGAATTCCCACAGTGCCGTTGTGCGGTTGGCCATTGTTGGCCCATCTGGGCTCCATGGTAGCACCGGCACGTATGCTTGAGTAGCTTCCAAATCGGGGCCGCAGGACATCAGCTGAGGCACCGCCTTCATTAACCTGATTGCTTTCTGCATATGTGACCTATGCGAGCTGAAGAAATACCACCACTGCCACAATCGCAGCACCTCGGTGGCTACAGAGGCCTCTGCTTTCTGAAACAATGGTGTTGCCGCCTCACAAAGACCTGGATAAAACGCGATGTGGCCTAAGAAGGAGGGCCGAGGCAGAATACGCTCTTCCAGCAGTCCCGCGTCATAGAAACTTTCCGCCATGACAAACCACTCGCCAGCTCCGGTTACCCAGTCCTTTTCATCAGCTTGTATTACAAGTAAGTCTTCTAGTGCCGACATTGGATCCGGGAGGTATTCTGTGGTTGCAAATCTCGCCTTGATTCGCGACTTGCAAAACGCGCCTTTCGTCATTTGGATGACGGTTTCCGACATCGACAGCTTCCCCCAACTAAGAATCTGCTGGCCAGCTGCTGTGTCGGCCAGAAAATCATGTGCAGTGCGATGCACAAAGTCCACCCGTCTTAATATGTTATTGAAATCGGATTCGGGGCTCCAATCGAGAGGTTTGACTTCCAGAAGGCCTGCGCAACGGGTGCGAATCTCTTTTTCAGTCCTCCCACACACGTACACAATCTCTTCAGAGCGCGTCTCACACCTAATGTTCAAAAGTCTTGTCTGGAGATCTTGATCTTTCCAGCACGCAATGTCGAACAATGATGTAACGTGAGGTGGCAAGTGGGAGGGGAGGTGAATTCCATTCTTACGTTGTTTGTGTTCTTGAGATTGGATCAAGAATTGAAAGAATAAAGCTGCAGATTCTCGGTAGACCTTTAGATCTTGATTTAGCCTCGTCCACATGTCAGCGTACAGGTCCATTATATCGCTGGGAAGATCTTTTAGCCGCATAATCAGAAACTCATTAGAGTCTTCATTTTCGATACCATTCTCAATACTCTGTAGCGTCAGCTGCAACCAAAGGAAGACCCCCTCGGCTTTCACAATAAGTAACTTTGCAATTGTATCCAGCGTTTCGGATGAGATTTGCCCACGTCGTTCAAAAACACCAAGTCTTTCTTCTATGCTCGAAATCATGTCGGGCTTCGTTAGATCTTGAAGTTTGAGGTTGGGTGTAGTGTCGAAGCCTTCTAGTAACCGCTCCTCTGGGCGGCTTGAAACGCATAGCTTTACCTGCTCATGCTGAGAAAACCCTTTCATTCTCCCAATGAGGTCCTTTTGTCCACCACGGTACTCGTCTAAGCCGTCAATGAAAATGCACACAGGGTTTCGATCCACCGCTGAGTCCAAGATGTAGTCCAGAACACTATCAAGTTCAGGAGTTGACCAATCGTTGACGTACGTCTTTTTCTTCACGAAGGGAAACTCATGAAGAATTCGTGTGAAAATGGCCTCATTTTCGTCGATCAATTGGTGAATCAAGGAGCAATATAAGCCTTGGAGGTTGTTCTCCATTGTTGAACCAATTTTCCAGAAGTAGTGTGATAGAATCCGACTTTGTGGACACCATTGGCCCAAAAGCTTTTGAGTCTCTTCATGGTTGACTATGTATTTCATTAGCGTGCTTTTTCCAGCACCTGGTTTGCCTTGAATCCAGAACACAGGCTCATGTGACCGTAGCCAGTCCACAAAGCTTTGCCAAACTTTGTCGATCGCTTTAGTATTTGGAGAATTGCTACTGTTGATAGTGTTGGTATATGAGCGAAATATTCGTCCGAAGGTGGCGTCTCGAGGCTCTAAAATAGCATTGCGGCGAGAATTCATGTCTGGATATTCGAGACTCTTCTGAAGACGCTCATGTTGCGCTTTTGTTGTTGCATCTTTTTCATGGGCTTTCAATAAGCTTTCACTATGATCTTTTATTTCTTGTTTGGCTATCCCAACCTCGTCAGTGATATGAGCCTGGGCCGAGGCGGCTTGTCGCTTCAGGAGATCTTCGATTTTTGTACATCCTGCTTCAAGGTTGGCAATAAAGTCTTGAACATCGCCGTCGCGATTATGAAAATTTGAGTTCTGTGTCAAGTTGTTCGATTTGGCTATGGCCCTAAGTAACAATTGTTAATATGGCAGAGAGCACAGAGTTTGTTCCGTAGGGCTTTTACTCACCAAATTTGGGTGATGAGCAGCGTCTGCATCTGCTCTCTGTAGGAGCATAAATTTTCGTTGAGCTTTTTTAGCTTGGGCTTTTTCCATAAGGACATGGATGCAGCTTTCATGGTAATCAAGAAGTCGCCCTTCGCGGCTAGGCTTGTGATCTTTCCGACCTCTGACTTGAGTTGAGACGCGATTTTTATGCATTCCTTAGCGATCCGCGCTATTTCTTCACCCAAGGCATCATTCTTGCAATCTGCGGCAATCTGGGAAATTTCTTTCTTTAGTTGTTGGTTCTCGTCGCATATGCTGGTCACTTTTTCGGCGGCCACGACCATTGAATTGGCTATGTCCTCAACCTCATCATCGGGCGTCTTCTGCCTATCATATAGAGCAATGCAGACATTGAGAGTTTCATGAGCGAAGCTAATTGTCTGAAATATGGCACACGCCAACCCGAGAATTTCGAAGCCAGACATGACGGCCGAGATGAAACTAAGTCAGAGTTGCTGATGTGGTTATGGACGGGAGAAAGTTTGCTTTCTTTGTTACTAGGGCGAGAGCATCAAATTTAAGGACAAAGAGGGGTAACCTGTAAGCAACTACTTGCATATTGTCAGCCAATATAATTCGACCAAGTGGCATCCTGCATGTGCGTATGACACGGTGGCTGTGCGACCCATCAGAATTGCTACCATTTACATCGTTTTTGTTGGTTACGGCTCCTCTAAATAATATCTAGTAGAGGTTGAGCACTTCTCGGTTGGCTTCCAGGATGACTGGATCTATGCTGCTTTTGTCCTCGTAAAAGATGATCGCCCCATTGAGGCGTAGAGACATTAACGTGACTTGGCTTGATGGACCTCGATGATTAGGCGGCAATACTCACACCAACATCGAATACGTCGCAAGGCTGCACTGACGGCCATCCTCACTCGCAGAAGGCGGGCCTTATCCACAGAGACATATTCATCAACAACCTCATGCCGAACGAGTATGAAAATATCCCTTCCTAAATGGCTTTCTTAATCAAACTTCGCCTTGTTGTCTGAGGCCAACGAGAATCTGCCTCTGGAGCAAACCTGAAGATTTGGAAGATTATCCATGGCAATAGGGACGCTGCATCCTGACAAGGCAGTCCCGTTCGCTTCGGCAAATCATGATACGCCCTTTAATGAGTGTCTTAAGAGGAAAGTGTAAGAAAAGATATTTTCGTTGCTATGGCGATGCTCAGAGGATACCGATATACATTGTAATGCGAGATAAGATTGGAAAGAGGTACTGGGAGCGATTTGACCAAGGCTAAAGGGTCAAGGATACATGACGTTCAGTGCAATCTAAGTGCATAGAGAAGTACCTCTGCGCGAAGAAAATTTACCTAGCTGGCAATCTTAGGGGAATAAGATAAAATGGACTTCTTGCGCCAAGGGATATAGTCCGCGAAGTGTAGGCCTGCATCGTGTGTATAGAGCTTAGCATATAGTAGCAGCATCAATTTGACGTCACCCACCAGTGCCCCTCGAAGAGCTCTCATTGACATCATGATGGTATTTGTCGGGGTAGTCATAAGATAGGAAGCAGCGTAATAGATAAACTCGGGGCGCTCACTGACCAACCAAGTCTAATGTGTTTGTAAGATCGAGGGCTGTGTTTCGCCACGAGAATAGATGGATGAGGACTTTTCATCGTCATAAATGTCTGGGCAATCTATAAATTATTAGGCCGCCTCCATCCCACTCATAGGTCCTCTGGTAAGAAAAGAAAATACCATCAACTAACTTTCAATGTTTGCTTTGAGAGTTATTCGCTTCTCGACGCTTCGGTCTGGTCCCAAGCCTCGCCTCTTGTTTTCAAGATCGTTTAGTTCAACTCCCGCCGTCATGACAGCAATCAAAGGTGCTATCGTCAAGGACCACCGGGAGCTGGAGGAGTACTACAACGAGATCATAAATTCGACGGACCATGACCACCAGGAACGCTTTGGTAATCAATTCACCTGGGAGCTCGCCCGACACTCTGTTGGCGAGGAACTGGTTGTGTACCCTGCCTATGAGAAGTATATGGGCGACAAAGGCAAGGCGATGGCTGATGAAGACCGCCAGGAGCACCATAAAGTGAGTTCAATCGTGGTGGTGAAAGCCATGGTGCCTTCAAAGGATATTAACGATCTTCAAGGTCAAAGAACTCCTAAAGCAGTTCCAGAATATGAAACCCCAAGAAGCCGACTACTTGCCGAAGTTGAAGGAGCTCTGGGCCGATTTGTCCGAGCACATCAGGGAGGAGGAGAGCCGTGACATGCCCGCCTTCGAGGCGGCGCTTGCCAATAACGAGGAGGATTCCCAGGCGCTGGCAAGGAGCTTTGGCAGGACCAAGGCGTTTGTGCCGTCCCGCAGCCACCCAAGCGCTGGCGAAAACCCGCCCTTCGAGACTGTCATGGGTCTTTTGACTGCTCCGTTTGATCACATCGCTGATATATTTCGAAAGTTCCCGGATAAAACAGTCTCTCCAAATCCGTCAACCAAGTAAGCCTTATCAGCTTCTTGAAATTGGTGGAGGTGAAAGGCAGTATGCGCTTTTGTAGAAGGGATATTAATGAGGCGAATGATGAGTGTGTAAAAAGTGTTTTTTTGATATACACTCCGGGTTACAGCTGAACCATTTTGTACATCGTTAGACAACAATAATCTGAGATTTGAATTTGAAAAGGTGTTTTGGACGAAATGTGATCACTCGTCGCAAGAGAGAGAGGCGCCTTAATCGCACCACCTTAAAAAAACTTAAAAAAGTTTGTCAAGTTAAGATAAGTATGCCCTTTATAGTCTTGGAGCAAATATAATGATCTAGGAAGGCTATAATTCACACATTCGATGGCTTATAATCAAACCAATACTTGCATTCGTCTACTCTAGGCTAATTATGCATTGTTTGAGGTACATATGACCGGTAGCACCTACTACGTATCCGTTGTTAGATTCCTTATTTATCCGACGTGCCCTTCGCGGGTTTCCATTCATGATGATGAGATCCTTTCTTTGCCTCGCCCGGACCATGGCCTCTGATATCGAAGTTGTGATGCCCAAAGTAGTCCAGCTCCGCCTCCATGAACTGAGTCGGTAATTCTGTATGAGTAGAATACTTGTAATATTCGAGGGACTGGCTGATGGCAGGAATTATCATATTACCTTCGACTGCCTTGAGCACAACATTCTTTGTCGAATCGAAGCTGCGACTCAGTTCTTTCTCCAGCGTTTGGTCGGTCAGAATACCATCACCATCCGGCTTCATTCTGGGCCATGAACAGATTGACTGCAAGAGAGACATGATGCCATCTGCACGGATGATTGAACCTGCACTCCAAACATGGAGTAGATCAGGATAGTTTATTTCCCAGCCTTTCTTCTCGCTCTTTTGACGCAGAAGATTCAGCCCTTGCACGAAGCAAAGAAGGAAGCAAAAATACGTCGCCATGCGCAGCTGTTCGATGAAGCTGTCCTGATCGTCTACCTGTAGCGGCTTGGTCGCAAATGTGCCTTTGCTAACCTTTTCGGTTTTCATCCGCTTTTTCAGATCAGCCGAAGCGCAACGGAAGAGATGGGCGCTTAGGATGGTGGCAGCCGGTGAGTGAAGACGCACTGCTTCCTCGCAGGTCCAGGTTCCGGTGCCTTCAGACTCATCCACATCCTGGACGACTTTGTCCTGAACGTACGACACAACATGATTTGATTTGTCGTCTTTCTCTCGATTCACGTCCGCGCCAATAGCTATGAGGAAGCACTTGGACAATTCGGGTGATTCATTCCACTGGCGTAGAACCTGCCCAGCTTCGTCATAGCTGAGTCCCAACCCCCGGGTCAGGATATACCACGCTTCAGCAATAACCGACATCATGCCTTGTTCGATGCCGTTGTGGAGCATCTTAACGAAGTGACCGGAGCCCCCGGGGCCGATGTAATTGACGCATGGCCTCCCGCCCTCATCTTTTGCAGCGACGGTTCGAAGAATCGACAGGATCTTTTCGACCGCTTCTCGATCACCTCCTGGTGACATGGATGGCCCTGCTCGTGCACTTTGGTAGCCCCCCGACACTCCGCATCCGACATAAAAGATTCCATATGGTCTAAGCTCCTCTTGCCGACGTTCCGTGTTCTTGTAGTTCTCGTTTGAACAATCGAGGACAATGTCGCCGGTGGTAAGGGATGGAAGTAGCCCCTGCAAACATTTGTCGCCGGCCAATCCATGAGGAATGCTGAACACGATAAGACGAGGTTGAGAATCTGAAGAAACACTTTTGCACAATTGGCTATAAGAATCTTGTCCAACAACATACTCGTGCAGATTCACGTCTTGAGCTTTGCTTTGTGTGTCGTCCATTTTACTCTGTTCTTGTAGCTAGTCAGTTCGAGCCGTAAGGTAGAATGGGTTTCAGTGTAATAGTTACCAATGTCGAAGAAAAAGACGTGGTATCCATGCTCTGCAAACAGCAGACTCATCATGGAGCCCATGCTCCCCACACCGACCATGCCTATCTGTCAGGTCATTGTTAGATAGAGCTGTAGTAAATTGCAAGGGAAATGACCACCTTCTGAATCTTTGGCTCGGACATGATGGCTTTTTTCTGCCAGTAATCTTGTGGTACTGAGATTTCCTCTGGGAAGGGAAGCAAGTCTAAGGAAACTACGGAGTAGAAACGCTTCTAACGCTTCGAGGACGTAGAAATAGGGTCTAAGAAAAGAGTCAGGTGGGCTCCAAAAATCGAAATCTAACCATTGTATCCATTTTTCTCGGACAAGAATTACATCAGATTTACATCGGAGTTTGAGAGCTATGATGCGGCGGCTCCGTCATCAATGATGGAATGTTTTCGTCTTAGGGAAAGGGCGACATATTGTATTTCGTATCATGCAAAATGTAAAACGAAGGGGCATTAAGTCAATGAATCTTACATGTAAGATAGTAGAGGAGAGAAAAAGCATGATGGGGCTCCTCGGATAAACAGACGTTTTTTTTTTCCCGGATATTCTAGGCTGCCATATCCAAGTTCTCATTCAGTTGTCTCGTCCCTTCTGCTACGCAATAGTTATTTACTACAGAAACTGTGAATATTTACCAATCTTCATAAAGTCTCAGTTGATTGGCCCTGATGTGTGCCTGCGTTGCGCGAAGTAAAAAGAGAAAAATGAGCGACTAGAGTACTTCCGTCGTGGACAAATGAGAATTTTCCGCTAACACTTCCATGCTCCTCCATCAGCCATTGACAATGATGCCTCCATTAGGATGCAGAGTCTGTCCACTCATAAACACACTCTCCTGGGACGCGAGGAACACATAGCTCGTAGCAATTTCACTCGGCTGTCCTACTCGCTCCATCGGTGTCCAGTTCCCTAGCCCGAAGCCCTTCTGGCTCTTCTCGCTCACGCCCGTGGCCATAAGCGGCGTCCACACGGGACCAGCGGCAACCGCGTTGACACGAATACCCTTCTTTACTAGATGGTTGGATAGGGAGCGAGTGAAGGCGATGACGGCGCCCTTGCTCGTTGCATAATCCAGTCGACTGGGAACGCCAATGTAGGAGTCCACAGACGCACTATTGATTATCACAGCGCCGTTGGATAAATGCGGAAGCAGGTGTTTGGTAAGGTGGAAGTACGAGTCTATATTGACACGGAAAGTGGAGGTCCACTGCTCCCTATTTTCGCATTATTTGTTAGCATTATAGCATTTTCTGCGTGTGAAAGAGGGCTAGATGACCACTCACTCAGATATATCAGAGATATCTCCGTGCTCCTGCCGTGTAGCAGCGTTGTTGACTAAGATATCAATTCCACCAAGGGCATCCAGAGCCCTCTTTGCGACATCTTGGCAGTTGATCGATAGGGACAGGTCACTAGGGATAAGCGTGAGCTCCCCACCGTTCTTCTCTATCTGGGCTTTTGTGTGCTGCGCATCTTCCTCTTCGGACAGGAGGTAGGCGATGGCCACTTTGGCCCCTTCCATAGCAAACAGGATAGCTACGGCGCGACCGATGCCGGAGTCTCCCCCGGTGATGAGAGCCTTCCTATCAGCCAACTTACCGGACGGGGTGTACGTGATGTCCCCGCCTTCAGATGGCAGATGGACCTTTTGCGGTTTGGGTTCCATGTCTCGCTCAAGGCCAGTGTGTGCTGTCTGCTGGGTGTCCTTGCTTGGGTTGGAACTCGGATGAGTGACCTTGTGAATGGTTTGCTTAGCTGACTCCATGTTGAGATTTGTCGTACTTGTCTTTGGTGTTCGATTTTCTGATGTGATTTGAAAGAGCTCTAAATTGGTTTCTTGTTTCAAGACGTTGAACGGGCCGCCTTATAAGCTTGAGAGACATGCTGATGATGCTCCGCAGAGGCTTGGTGGACGTTCACCCACCCATCATCAGAAGATAATCATTTCCAAGTCACCAATTCGTCATAACTTCGATTTCGTGTTACACTCTAGCCTTCGCGAGCCCCTCGTTTAATCAAGCTCGGATACATGTAATTGGAGGATCATTGATGAATTGTACACAAATCCGCTCACCAGTAAACAAGGCGTATTATTGTGGCGGGCAAGGTGATTGAATAAATGCACAATTATTCGTAACTTTGCTAATGCAGTGCCAATCATATAAACACATAATGGGTTATACTTGTCATAATGGATGCCTCGTAAAATTGATTGGCTAGGTTGAGAGGTGATTATCACCTCCAGCAGCGCAGAGTGTCTGCCGCCACACGTCAGTCATGCAAAGGCAGGACTGTAGGATGTAACCCAATCAGCTGAAGGTCCCATTCGAAGTATACAGGTGCACTAAGTCGAATACGTCATGATGAATGTATTGAAGGGCTGGTCAGGCTTCCTCTGAATCTTCGCAGCCCGGTAGTGAGGTGGTGATGAGGGCCGTCGCAAGGGGTCGTAAGTCATTGACCACACTACAGGCATTCGAGTGTTATAGAAAACTGGTGTTCTTGAATACAACTTCTCTTAAGGATACAATGTGATGTATATCTAAATTTAGGCTCCGCATTTTGTGTACTCATAGATATATGCCTCTACGACTATATGTCCATGGCTAGCTATTTATTTATCGTTACGTCGAACCAAGAGATCAATCCCGTCTAGCAAATCCCACCGGCTCCCAAATGTGCAAGCTTATTAAATTGTAAAACCACCTCATACTGTGGGGAATATCAAATGTCATCATGACTCGCGTTACAACGTGCTCCTGGTGACATGGATCTTACATCATAGTAAATCACTTACACGTAGATTTCACGTGAGCTGGACTCACATTTCCATAGGCTCAAAATTTGATTCAATTACTCTATGCACTGTGATATTATTTTCAAATCGACTTCTGGCTAATATGGCGTCGGTATTGGAAATACCCGTTGCGTTCGCATCATGTTCGATTGGCTTGCCCAAGCATACACTGCACGAGAAAATTGAGGCGATAGCTCAGTCTGGATTTAAAGGCGTTGAGATTTCGTTTCCAGATATACAGTCCTTTGGGCATCGCCACCTTGGCTTCGAGATTAACGAGCATGACTACACTTCGCTCTGCAAAGCGGCCACCGCAATCGGAGAACTCTGTCGGCGTCATGATATAAAAGTACTGGTACTACAGCCCTTTTCCAACTTCGAAGGCTGGCCGAAGGGAAGCCAGGAGCGGAGGGACGCATTTGCCCGTGCGCGAGGATGGATCGATATCATGACTGCACTGGGAACAGACATGCTACAGGTTGGGTCGACGGACTCACCAAACATCACTTCAGATGTCGACCAACTTGCTGGAGATCTGGCTGAGCTGGCCGACCTTCTTGCGGAGCGAGGCTATAGGCTGGCTTACGAGAACTGGTGCTGGGCCACGCACGCGACAACCTGGAAGGACGTATGGGATATTGTGCAGCGTGCTAACCGTGACAATATCGGATTGTGCCTCGATACGTTTCAGACGGCGGGCGGCGAATGGGGTGATCCGACAACATCCTCGGGCAAGCTGGAAAACGGGCTCACCGAAGCGGAACTGGACGAGACTTTTAGGAAGAGCCTCCAAGAACTCTCCAATACGGTGCCAGCGGATAGGATATACTTCCTCCAGATCAGCGATGCGTATCGCATGGCCAAGCCTCTAAGCCGGGAGCCGGACGAGTCAGGACTGCGGCCTCGCGGTCGATGGAGTCACGATTATCGGCCGTTACCTTTCGACGGTGGCTATCTCCCAATCGAGGATTTTGTGAAGGCGGTACTTGCTACTGGCTTCCGGGGCTGGTTTAGTATCGAGGTTTTTGACGGCCAATTTGAAAAGAAGTACGGGGACAACCTTTTCAAGTTCGCCGAGAAAGCTATGGAAGGACACCGAAGACTGATAAGCAATTGAGCCGCTTATGTGTGTCTATAAGTTGATGGAAAACGCGTGGAACATTCCGCAGAGTAATACTGAGTATTTGAACTTATAATTTACCAACATACGTATTGAAGATGCCGGCCGCGATAGCATCAATTTCTGTATGTGTGAATGGATGCATGCGAGTTTTGGTCCCATTGTATCTCAGGCTTCTTTTTCTCTATTCATGTGAACTTCATGCCAATTGCAAAAACCAGGCGACTCTAAGAATGCATCCGGGGCGCCATTAGGACGTCATTGTTGTCTGTTGATCCCGGCGATGGAACGTCATTTGTTACATCATTGCCACATCAGCGCATCTGATTTCGATACATTCCACGGGCCTCTTGTTTTCTAATTTCAATGCTTGCGCTTTTCCCAAAAAATGAATTTCATGCCATCAAGAAACCAAGTTTGTCAAGATGATATCGGAATACTTGAGCAGATTGCTCCATGGAGTCGTAGACAAAGTGATGTCTTGGCTGCATCCTGTGATACTCCCCAAAACTCCTTCTTCAACCATACACTTTGGCTGACACATCTTTCAGAATGCACATTGGGGATGGGTTTCATGGGATCGCAAGGTCCGTCTCGCGAGTGCCTCCTGACCAAAGGATTTACTAATCACGAAACTATAGACCGGACGTCTCGAGCGGGAGAAGCAGTCTTTGTGGAGGAAGATCAAACTTCTCTTACTCTTCAATCCTCTCACAGAATGGGTAGATACAACTCAGGCCATGAGATTGTACACCCACAGCAGAACGATCAAACAGGGTAAGCACTCTCGTAAGGCTTATTTCACGACTTACTGCATTTGAATCTTAACAAATTTGATAGGTGAAAAGGAAGGAACCCTTGAATCCAGAAAGGGTATAAAACGATTTGTTGAGGAATTCAGCATAGACATGAACGAGTACGAGCCTTCAGATATCACCAAGTATCGCACATTCGAAGACTTCTTCGTCAGGGCGCACAAGGATGGGTCGCGGCCAATCCACGAGCCTCAAAACCTAGCTCATGCTGTTGTTCCCGCAGATTCACGCGTAGTCGCTTATGAGTCGGTCGCAGAGACCAAAAATCTATGGATCAAGGGCAAGAGTTTCAGCACCAGCACCCTAGTGATGGACACTGACCTGGGGTCGCAATTCGATGGCGCCGCTGTCGCAAGCTTTCGCCTATCACCTCAGGATTACCACCGGTATCATTCGCCTGTCTCCGGCAAGATCAAGGTGTACAGAAGTATACCGGGGGACTATTATCAAGTGGACGCCGTCGCTCTACAGAGTGATGTGGACATCTTGACGAGAAATAGACGAGTGTATATGGTTATTGAAACTGAATCCTTCGGCGATGTTTTGTTCGTGGCTATCGGCGCAACCAATGTTGGATCTGTCAAGTGAGTGTTGATACGGCCATTATTGATACAGGGGCTGATTATTGCAGGATACATGAGAGATTCAGGCAGATTGGCGCCAAGGTTGCCAAAGGGGATGAATTGGGCCATTTTCAATTTGGGGGTTCTTCTATCATCGTGGCTTTTCAAAGTGGACGGATCTCGTTTGATCAAGACTTGCTTGATTTAAGCAAACAGAGGATCCAAGTTGCCGTTGAAATGGGCATGAGCTTGGGGTTTGCTACTAATTAAGATGATGAGGATGCTTCTCGAGGGCTCATATTGATTGTCAACTTCAAAGCTACAACATCAACTAGAATAATTGCAAAACCTTTTCCATGTCAGATCTAACAGCTCGAAGCTCAAAAAAAATACGGGCTAAGAAACGACCACCTGGGTATCCTGGAACGGCCCGCATCATATGTGTATTTATTGCATAGGTTTTAGTTAACATTTACGTTCATACAAAGTCCATTCTACTTCGGATACGACCCACTATGTGAGTTAAACCAGGCATTGGTTCTCTCTCCGGTGGCCTCCTGCTCATGGGATGTCTTGTAGCAATGACACGCTCAACGACCTTTTCTGTCATGGAGATGATTTAAGGGGCTTAGGCTGAATAGGCTGAATTTGAAAGCTGTCTGGCCCTTCATAGGCCTTCTTTTTCTATGAATCTATTGGAACATAAGGTATTGGGGTCTGCTATAACGCCAAGTGGTGGGGGTAGCTATGACTTCATACACCGGTCATACGGTATCCTCGATGTCACGGATTTCTCATATGAACGTAATGCGGTTTTAGCGAAATGCCATATTCCACTGAGGTCTGGTCCCATTGTCCCCTATTAGATCCAGTCATTTTCACCCGATACACATCCAATTAAGTCACGAGGCGACGCATGACTTTCAATATGGATGCCTCTTTGTATGCACTTTTCGCCACGTCTTTCCCCAAACTCCTTGTTTTCATGGCATACGGGCGAAATGGCAGGCTCCGGGCCATCTCCACATGTTGATCTTGCAACATATGACGCACAGTAAGATTTGACACGGACAGCTTCTTGCTCCAGTGGCGATGAGTGGGCGGAGTGGGTGTGATGTCAGTTTATGTTAATCTTCACCGCAAATTATCACGACGGACCAGCGCCCCCATGTCTTTATCGACCCAAACAAATGTTAGACGAGTATATATACCGGGGGCTATTTTTTGGATTGCTTAGCGCCCGTGTTGGATAAAACATCGGAACGCATTTTCTAAGCTTTATTTATCAATCTTTGCCATCATGCCTCGTCATCACGACCAGTACGCCTATGATCCCTACTACTACGATCATCCTCCCGCATCATACAGGGACTATCATCACTCGCACAATCTTCATCATGGAGACGTTCTTCGACGACCACGAGCACAATCTCCGACCTACCGACGAAGCCGGAGCCTGGATCACACTCACAGGGAGAGGCCCCGAAGCCCACCTCGAACCAGACATCACCACGGAAGTCGAAACGACTCCCCATCCCCTGAACGACGGCGACCTCAGCATCATCACCATACTCACCATACCCATCATCGAGACCACGGTGGTTCTAGGCGGCCTCGGAGCGCCTCCCTCTCCAACGAGCGGCTCGGCCACGTCGCCAAGGCAGCAGTTGACGCCGCCGCCATCGAGGCCATTCGCCAGCGACACCAACCCGGCCCGTGGACAGGCAGCAAGGGGGCCCGCGTCGCGACGGCCGCTGTCGGCGCCGCTGTGACCGACCATGTCATTGACAAGGATCCAAACAAAGGCAAGCGGCACTTGGTGGAATCTACATTGGGAGGGCTCTTGGCCAACCGACTCATTAATGGATCTCGGGACGAAGCGAAGCGTCGAGAGTCTGGACACCTGCGGAGATGATGAGAGCTACAGAGCAGATCATGAGAAAACAGTCTTTGGTTATGTTGTCATGTAGGAAAGCCATGTATATTTAGAGCAATAATGAAGGAATCTATACTTGTATGTTGAAGATATGACTTTGCCAATGGACAAGATATAGCCCCATTCGTTTTCTTCTGTATGGATACCGTCCGCCAACATGAGATCGAAAAGGCCATATCCTTTTTGGTAAATTCGACTATCCACTCAAAGTTGCCTACCGTGTTGCCCGATGGTGTTCGTATCTCTAGTTAATCATCCTTGCCAAATCGCTGGTCCGGGCATGGGGTAGACCTTCACCAAATTAGTTGCTGCGATCAGAAATATAAAGAGAGTTTCACTTACTGTATCTTTACCATGAGTGACGTAAAACCATGGGCTGCCCCCCTTGATAGTGAAACTCTTCTCAAGATCCTAGCAAGAAGAGATGATCAGCAGCCGAGAAGAGCAAAAAGGAAAACTCCACAAAAGAACAAAAATTCAGAAACCTCAGCATCAAAGAATATCGACCACACTAACATTGTCATATGCTCCAGGGAATGCCACGAGATCCTCAGTGGATGGAAGACTGTCGCCCGATCCGCTGACATCCAGTTGAATGCATTGTGGGAACCACTGTGCGGGTCCAGTCTGAAGATTGAGCATCTCATGTCGCAAGATGTACTTTCCAGGCTTGAGAGACGCTGGGGTGGAAATGTCCAGCTCGGCGCCTTCAAACACGTCCCTCATAGCCCAGTACCCGTCGGCCCAGGTGCCACTGATCAAGCCGGCCTCCCAGACCTTGAACCTGAAACCAATGTTAGCGACTGTCCACTGATAAGGCTCGTTTAACAGAAACAAACCAAATGGGAGCATTGAGATCAACGCCTTCGCAGCCCTCCTCGGCACAAGCGGCCATGTAAGCAAGCATTGCACCGTACGGATGCCCAAAGGTCCACGGCCTCTCAGCCCCCTCGCTCTTGGTGTCAAGGGAGTAGTTTGCCGTGACGACATTGCCTGCCACAATGGGTGCATATTGCGAGTTAGCATGCGGCACACCATTGTTGCCGCACGCCAGGTACGGGTCCTCCAGTTTCGAGACGCCGCCCCAGTTCCACTGACGCCCGATGCTTCCCTCAGTGTTGTTTTGAATGTCCCAGTTGCTATCCTCAGAATCACTCATCAGCCTTCTGCCTGACCCAAAGAGTAGTACTTCAGTGAGCTTGGGTCACATACCCGGTGTACACTTCTCCGTCAATGATGTAGTGCATAGCGCCCCCGTGGGCATTGACTACAGCCAGGAGGCTTGAAAAGGCTGAAGCTACGGCGAGGCGAAGCATTTTGATCGTTTTCGATAGGGACACTTATATTTTAAGGCTGGATGTGGGTTTAAGGATTAAACATAAGGCAGTAGTAATCTTGAGGGTGAAGCGATTTATATATTCTGTCACGGCCCAGCATTTGACACACATTCTCGAATATTAAAATACATGCTTTCGTAGGTTGCAATTGGACGGGATCTGCGTTTCCGTCCCCTGATATAGAAAGTGAGATGACAAAAGATGCTGTTTTAGATACTGCCCACAACCCTCCGCAGCCCAAATAAGCACCTAATATTGCAAGACATACGAGGTGCAACCACACAGTAGCAACGGACCTACCCCAAGATTGACGGAGCTTTTCCCATTTTTCCCGTTTGCAACTCAACCCCAGATAGGACGATTGACGAGACGAAAAGCGTCAGCCGCAAGGAAGATTCCATGTTCTTTCTTAAGTACGATCAAACTTATTCTTGACTCAGTATCAGCCCGCTTTCTGGTGATATTTCCAAATACGAGGGCCAATGGCTTCCTGCGTTCAATAAGCTTATGGTGCTATGTTACGTAAGAGAGCTCGACTATGAAGTTAAACACATTGAGATGCCAGAGCCCGGTGTTAGGTTACATGCAACCACTACGTCAGTTCAAAATAATTTTGCAGAGAATATGAGATGTCAGCCAAGCCACAGGCAGGGACGTATTCCGCTGACTAAGTTCGTCGCTAAATGATGCCATATGTGAGTCGTGAGTGCAACTGAACGTTTCTTGGCACATAAACCCGATCTTCAGCAGAGTTACAAACCCAGACTGATGACTGCCAGCAACGACCTTTCTGCCTGTGCAAGTTTATTCCCATCGTGATTATGATGGCAGCTGACTGCTTGTCCCGTAGCAACGATCTGCCTGGCAACTCTTTAGTTGTAGATTTGGTTCCACTACATCTCTTCTAGGGTGGCTTTTCAAGTGTCCGCATCGAGCTCTACTTTGGACAAACCATAGCCACTGCTCGTCCGTAGACCATGATGGCATCTGCTGAAGCATCGTCATGATCTGACATATCCCCTGCCACCCTGGGTCGGGCCGACGGAGGCCACCTCCCCGTTACCATTTGACAGCATCCGGCCCTCTATCTCCGTCAATAACGTCCAGGGGAATCTCTGATAGTACTACTTTGAAAGAAAGGCTGAGGTGGAAATCTCTTGAGCTATTAAAACTTAAGATCATAAGACTCTATAGTAATAGAGCTACTAAGTCTCTTTTATCTATAACAATATTAGAGTATAGTCATTTAGCTGGTTAAAAGAGATAGCTAGATAGCAAACTTTTCTTATTATAATAAAAAAGAGCGCCCTAGTAGTACAGTTAGTTATTAACTACCTACCTATATAAAAAAGGCCTTAAAAGAGAGCTGACCTAAGCCTGGCAAACTTGATTACGCTTGAAGTATAAGCCCGCTTAGCTAACACCCCGGGGTCTAAATTCAGACTCAAATAACACTTGATTTTCACTCTTCAGGGGAACCCTTCAGTTATTAATAGCTATTCCAATTATAGATACAATAAAGTAGTATATTTTAGAACATAGAGTTATCTGATACTATAAGATATTTCTAGTTCTAAGTTTTAGGATATGATTTTTAGTCCTAATCTGCTAGATATTATAAGGTAGGTAAGACTTTCCTCTAGATAATGATATATTTTATCTAATATATATATATATCCAAAATAGGAAGTTGAATTTATAATGATGATGATGGTGATAATAATCAGATGGATCAAGTATAGTTTATTTTCTTCACTCCTATTCATAGGTTAGATCCCGATGTTCTACCCTCAAACTTATGCCCGGCCCGACGTCTTCAAGCTTTGATGCGAGTCGAGGAATTCCCATGATTCTTTGACAAGCTTCCCATCCTCTGTTGTCTTCAGATTGACAATGTACTGCATATCGAAAGGCCCAAACTGCGTATCGCCGGAGGCAAAAAGGCGCAACACAATAAGTCGTTGTTCCACGTCAATAATGGGAGTAGCGCCGTCCATTTGTCGAACCGCCCAGTTCGGAGTCTTCTCCACTACATCGAACAAGATCTTGCCCAAGGTATCGTTGTCCATGTTTGGCGGAATCCCCAGAGTCGAGGGGAATATGGTGTGGGTGGCATCGGCGGTTCGACCAATCCTCCATGCTTCGGCGCTCGTGATAGAATTGACCCGGGTGATGAAGTCATTGGCAGTCTGGAGAAGTTGATCTCTGAGGTCTGACATTGTGATGGATTGGTTGGATAGTTATGTCGGTAGTTTGTTGTGTGATGTTTTCCAAGGTCCAGAACAGAGGCGGTCAGTAGATGAGGACGTTATTACCTTAACATGCCTTAATCCGAAACGGCTTTATTCTCAAGTGGACCCGTAATCATGTGGCAACAAAGAGGGGTACAGCAACACCACCATGCCAAGATATGATGCAAACCGAATGAAGACTGGAGAAATATACCATAGAATGAGAACGGAAATATTGGAGATGATCAAATGGACCATCGAGTTAGGCCTTCTTCTTCACAAATAGGCATCCATGCTCTTCATTTGAGCACAATTAAGCTGCTTGCGTCAATCCCCAGAGTCTCTGTCAAAACACCTTGCCTGAGGTATTTTTATCCTTACCCCTGTTCCGCTTCTGACTCAACATGCATCCGTTGCTGCTGGTCAAGGCCACGTAGGAATTGCCTTTTACTAGTCCAATGCCACCATCAGTGTGTATCAGTTGCGGCATACCAGGACCAGTTAACGCATCCTAAACTCTGGAGAAATGAATATACCTGCTACCTACTCAACCCAACTGGCCAGAAGACGGATGGTTGACTTGGACCTCAGCTTCTTGCTGAGCTTTCTTTCCTCGCAATAGCTGGGTTTAGTGAGTTCGTCTAAATAATGGCGATTGATACGCACCTGGCTATCATCTAACTCCTGGCTAATCATCGACAGTTTGCGTTTTAGATATATGAAATTTGCGAGGGAACGCCGAGAAATTCGTAAAACAGAGTAATCCTAGAGGTGGAGATGATGCGTTTCATCTATGAACGTCTAACGCACACGCAGGAGAGAGCCTCCAAATATCCAAATAAGCACAGAGGAACGCACTCTCTGTAAAACGGCAGGTAAGGTAGGCTTATAGAAATGGGAGACACCAGTAAAGCCTTCGTAATTATGTTAACTAACCGATTTGATAATTATAGGCTAAACCCTTCTCCTTCCTAAAAACTATCTTTCTCTATATCGTCTATTGTCTCCAAAGCTCTAACGCGACAGTCCCTCTACCATAGACCACTATTTAATCCATTATCTTACCATATACTAGAATATATATATTGGATAAATAATCCTTGCTGAATATCAACCTCGTCGTGAGTTTCACCGTTTCCTTAACTAATACGCAACTACGAGCTGCGTTGACCATTGGGTTCGAAAGGAAATACAGCGGCTATCAAGCCCAAGCCGCCAAATAGCGCTGCGCACACATAAAGGGGTACCGCCGTAGCTGTGTTTCCGGATGAAGCAACAAAGGCCGAAACAATACCCATAATCCTGTTGTAAGACACGGCTATTCCGCTTCCCGTTGCGCGGTGTGCTGAAGGAAGTACCTCCGCTGTGTAGGCGTAGAGGGTGGCGTAATAAATGTTAATGAGAAAAGCTACCACAATGTTCGGATTAGTGAATTGCTCACATCAAGGCTAAAATAGGATGTGGAGGGTCGGCCAGAAAATCCTAATCTTACATATAGTGCACGAAAGGCCAACGTTTTGCTCATAAGTCCTGATGCCGGTGAGACCGAAGAACAAAGCCATGCCGCAAAAGGCTCCGATAAGCATGGTGTATTTGCGTCCTAGCTTTGTGCTGGCAAGGTATCCAGCAAGAAGAGCACCCGGAATGCCACAGATTGTAGTCAATGTCGTGTCCCTATATGTCTCGTATGATGAGGTAGCCCTGTCCGGAATTCGTGTTGACAGATACGCACTAGAACTTTCAATGTTAGCTTCACCTTAATTGAAAGGCCGTTGAGACTGGGATGAACGGGTGTTTTCCTTACGGTAGGAAGACGTAGAACAAAGGATATGCTAGGCCCATGATTGCCCAGGAGATCCAAATAAGAATGGTGGTTGTAGCCATCTTGCGAGACACAAAGAGGCCTTTGACATGACCAATTGTCTCACTCAAAAGTGAAGTTTGATCCTGTGACTTCAAGTCGATCTTCCCGCAAGCCTGTAGCTTCTCCAAAGTGAGAGAACATTCCTTGTTATACTTTCGAGCAGCATCTTGGTAATATTTCACGACTTCTGCATCACGACCCTTATTGAGCAAATATTTCGGCGTTTCCACCAGCCGCACAACGGTCAAGCGCAGGATTGAGATGGCAAACACGACGCTGCCGGTGGTAAACATGACATAACGCCAGCCAGCGTTGTTAGACCACCCACAGTAGTCATCCTCACTAGTGCAATTCAAGCGGTCCTTAGCTACATTCATTCATTAGCAGTCATTCGTTTAGCTTGAGTGAAGTAGGATATGAATACTTAGAAATCCCCAAGCAATGAAACAGACAGTGGCCTGGCCTAGCCCCCACCAGCCAGCAAGAGCGGTCACAACCCATTGCTTATTGCCTGGCAGGAACTCAAGTAGCACTGTCGGGTCAAGAATCAAGTTTCCGCCACTTGCGAACGTTGATATAGCCAAGAAGCTGCAAAGAAACGGGAAATTAGGACTGGCGCCGGTCACAACCATGGCGAGAGATGTGATCCACAGGGTTAGGTTGAAGGACAGCTTCCGGCCTATGATATCGGCTGTGAGACCCCAAAAGAGTGCACCGATAGTCAGTCCTACATTCTGCGCCACGACTCCGGCATTTGAGTAGTAGGATGGTTTGCCAAGCTCAAGGAAGACCTGGCTTGCAGTAACCCCCTGCACAAAGGTGAGGCCGGAGTCCACAGCATATCCCATGCCATTGAGGAAGAAGAGTTTCCAGTGAAACGTGGTCCATCCGATCTCGTCATTCGCCTCAAAGCAGAAACTCGGTTAGTACATAAATGCAAGCGGCTGGTTACGGGAACTGACAACTTACATCGTTCACAAGATGGATTTTCCGCGCCAATGCTTCGTCGCCAACGTCATTTTCGAGAAGGTCCCCGGCATGAAGCTGCGACGAAGGATTCCCATCTTTCTGGACACTCGTGGTGAATGCAAGGTCTTTAGAGAGTGATCCCATGGTGTTGTTTTGCTCAAGCGGAGGTTGTGGGGTCAAAAGAGATGAGTGGGTAGATGCTACCTTTCTTCGGGCATTTCAGTCCCCAACCACGGGTTCCTGTTGTTCTCTCACACATCTTTATGTCTGAAATGAAACGAATTTTGTGTTGATGATTTCTCCCTTGGCATTTCTGTCATCGGAAGCTTCTCTTGCGCCATCGCAAGGCCCTGGGGTTTCCCCCCGTCACCGTAAAGAAGCTACGGAGAAGCCCCATCACTTCGCCATAGCCCTGGTCAATGACGAGAGCTTTGACAGCTCTAAACGAGACAAGTGCAAGTTTCCACAAAAACACCACGGAAATTCCAGACCGCAAAGCGGAGGATGAGTCTGCCTGAACAACACGATCGTGGAGACGAAGTCAAAATCGCTCACACCAACTTTGAGGATGGACCCTCAATGCTGATTTTAAAAACACCAGGGTGGCATGTCTGGTCTTGTAGAAACGATATAATCGCTCACACCATCATCGGAATTACAACTTGCTCCGAAATTAACAATTGACGACTAGGTCACGGTCAATTCAAGCTACAATACCGCTGTTCCTCCGTCCGGAGCTGGCGAATTCCTTCTCTCGCTACACCGCCATGAAGACTGCAAATCAACCCATAGGAAAGGGCGTCAAGGTCGCCATCATCGGCGGAGGCCCTGCCGGTCTCAGTGCCGCTATCGAACTTGGCAGACTACCCTTTGTGGACTGGCATTTGTATGAGCAGAAGCCGACGATAAGTGAAATTGGAACGGGGATCACCCTCCAACGCAACACTTGGGTGTTGCTCGAAAAGCTAGGAGCTTCCAGACACTTGCGGACGAGCGACATATTCAGGCCCGCGGATGGACACGACAACCAGTACAGGTAGCTTGTCATTTCCTCCCTTCATGGAATGATCCCTTTTTAACTTTTTAACAGGAATGGCGTTACGGGTGAGGTGGTGAAGCAAACCCATCCTCCCGTCATCATCCCTCACCAGGGACCTTGCAGAGTGCATCGAGGCAAGCTTCAAAGAGCTTTGCTCAAGGAAGTAGACCAGGGTCGGATTCGCACTGGCGAGAAATTAGTCTCGATTGAGCAAGAACATGACGGAAAGCTTCGTTTGTCATTTGCCAGCGGGTTCTCTACCAAGGTTGACCTTCTACTAGGTGCTGATGGGATTCGTTCTGTAAGTACTCGGTCGGCCGTTTCGTACTTGGTTACGTTGCTGCAGGAATGATGAACTCTAATTGATGCAGACTGTCCGAGAATTCGCATTTCCGAGTTACAATATCAGCTACTCAGGCATGACTGCGTATAGAGCAGTGGTCAGGGCATCGGAAGCGGAGCAGATCAATGGCCTCTCAAAAGCCATGATCTTTTGGTACAGCGCGAAAAATCGTTGGATATACACGACACCCCTCGATGACAATGACTGGGAGATAACTTGCAGGACCAGAGAGCCGGATGATGGGGATCGATCCAGCTGGGGGAAAGAGGTTAGTGTCAAGAAGTTCATCGCCCTCTTCAATGAATACTGCGAACCGATTCAACAGCTACTCTCACTGGTGACCCGCGTGAAGCGATTTGACTACTTTGGCGGCCGGCGACTCGACTCAGTAGTTAGGCACGGATCGGTTGCTCTTTTAGGAGACGCTTCGCATCCATTGTCTGGAGCGTTTGGTGCTGGTGCCGCCTTCGCTATGGAGGACGCTCATGTGCTAGCTGGAGCGATTCGCTGGGCGGCTTCGGCCGGCCGTGGGTTAGACGTTGCCTTACGCGTGTTTGATGATGTGCGGTCACCACACTACCGCAACCTCTACCAAACATTGGACGATATCGCTGTGGCTCATCAGAAGACATTCAGTGAAGCAAGCTCGGTTGATGAGGAGATTGTTGGACAGATAAACAATGTTTCCTCGTCGAATCGTAACTGGATGTATTACCACGATGTAAGTCATGAGAACCTTAACTTAGTTTCTCCCGTAGCATATGACTAACTTAATTTGACAGGCTGGGCAGGCTCTGGAAGACAGGATAAACAGGACCGATGAGCATCCTCCTAAACATAAACTATAATCATTCTAGATAAACACGTGTTGATAGTTTTAGACAACCAATCATTCCTTAGCAAGTCTCGCAATAGGCATTGGAGCTTAGTAGAGTAATCATATTTCCTACAAGACAAATTCTTAGTTGTGAGATGAAATCAACTATCGTACACCAGGTCTATAACGAATACGCCTTTAAATGAAGCCTACTGTCTTTACTCCACTTGGGTCACTTTCCGACCTCAGTGACCGGTTTTCTCAACCCCTGCTTCTCGTACTTTTGATTGATTTATTTTGTCTCCATGGGGCAGTCGCTTGAGAGGGGGGATGTCCCGATATCGGTTAACTAGTTGAAATGGCGTGATCCTGCTCTCAAAGGCTTAAAGGGCCTTCGGAGGAAGAGCATTACCACGTTCCCTCAACAAGGCGTTTCACTTGGATGCCACTAGTCAAGAGACACATGACATGGACCACCCTTAGAACATACTTTTCTTGACTCCTGTCACAAACAGACAATGCCAGAAAACAGTTTGAAAGTTGTCATCGTAGGTGGTGGGCCTGTTGGCATCATCACCGCGCACGCGCTCCATCACGCGGGCATTGACTTCGTCGTTCTTGAGAGCCGTGCCGATATCTTTGAGGACACTGGTGCTAGCCTCGCCGTCACCCCGCAGAATCTCCGCGTCTTCCACCAACTAGGCCTTCTCAAAACTCTTCTCGCCCTGGGCTCCCCATTGAATCATCATTCCGAGGGGTTTAGTTCGAAAAGACCCAAGTTCAGCAGGTCCAATGCCTTGAGTCTCCTCCAAGAAAAGTACGTGCTCGTCATTTCTTTAATGTCAGTCCTCATCAAGTTATTGTTGCAAACTCAGAATATTCTTCGGCAGCAAAAAGTCAATTAGTAGCTCCAGCCCTGATTTGACATGGTCTGGTCTGGTTGAATGCACGCTCACATCTACTACAGTCATGGGTCTGCGACCTTGATATTCCATCGCTCGCAACTTATCAAAGCCCTCTATGATGGATTACCCGAACACGCCAAGAATCGCTTTCTTTCTGACAAAAAGGTCTCCAATATCAGCTTAACCTCAACCGGCCTGGAGGTGAGTTGTGCTGACGGGAGCTTTTACCCCGGCTCCATCGTCATTGGTTCAGATGGTGCTCATTCCAAAACTCGCTCCATTATGCGCCATTTAGCTCTTGAAGCCGATCCATCTTTGGCTTCAACCTGGGACCCTGAGCAACCTTTCACGGCGACCTACCGATGCCTTTGGGGGTCGTTTGAGAAGGCTTCTGACCCAGGTGACAGCTATGAGACTCAGGGTCAAGACCGCAGTACCGTCTATCTTACAGGCGTCGACAAAGGCTGGATCTTCCTATACGAGAAACTCCCCCGGCGCTCGAAGGCGAGGGTCACTTATAGTGAGAAGGAGATTCAGTCATTCAAATCAAGCTTTGCGCATTGGCCCCTGAACCAGAAACTCAAAGTCCGAGATGTCCTCGAGACCTGCCCAAACCTGGTCGGTATGGCCAATCTAGAAGAGGGCATAGCCAAAAACATCAGTTGGAACGGGTCAATCGTGCTGGTCGGCGACGCATGGCACAAGTTCACACCCAATTCCGGGCTAGGCTTCAACAATGGGGTTCAGGATGTAGTCTCGTTATGTAATAGGCTTCACGCTCTGTCGGCATCTTCTCAGTTATTCACGTCAGATGGAATTCTGAATACGAAGGCCCTGCAAAATGCTTTTGATGGGTACCATTTGGAAAGAATAAAACCGTTACAAGCCGATTACGCACGCTCGGCTCGGGCCACCCGCTTGTCGGCATGGGAAACCTCTAATCATTATATTCTAGCGAGGTACATCCTTCCACTCGAGCGTTTACAGAAGTTCCTCATCAATCGGCACATCTCTCCTGGTATCGCATCCGGTCTTGTTCTGGATTACATCCCAGCCAACGAGGCGTTGTTGGGCAAAGTTCACTGGGCTAATCCACTTAGAAGCAAACGAGACCAAGGCAAACAATCCCAATAGTAATGCAGGTTTTCAGCAAAGTGGCCTACCACTCAAGGAACGGCAGAGTATTTGGCTTGACTTTACCATTCATCATATACTGCATGAATTTAATTCCTACCAACATACATTACAGCTGTCCATGACTCCCTGATTCTGTAATGCGTGTTCAGTAAAGTAAAAGAGCCAGAGAAAAAAATTATTTGTATTATAATAGGGCACGCATGGTCTAACAAAGCTTCTGCGTGAAACTGGATAGAATGGTTATTCCGCGGTGGGTGTCACAGACCGAGACAGGTCTATGTTTCGACTTTTCACCATTCCTCAATTCCCCAAATCTTAACATTGTAGTATTGTAGAGAAATATCTGAATAGTCCCGAATGAGGCGTTGGGCGAATTAGTGCCCCGCTTCTATAAACAGGTCACCTCTAAATTAGCTACCCTACACAGATCAATATCCATTAATCCAACATTCGGTTTGACATTCAATCGAATGGTGGTCCAGTCTTCAAAAAGGGCCTACCACTACGCAGCTGCGCTATGTAGTTGATGTACTTTTGCCTTACTTTAAATTGAGTTGGCGTTATTCCCGAACAAGAGTTGTATGATGGCCATGGTATCACACTCCTGAACCAGCTCGATTCCATTTATAAGGTTTACGAGCACTGCAGGATTCCCCATTGGGGAGACTTACAATCATTTCCTTGATTCTCTTCTTCAACATCTAAAAGTGGCACTCACCCAGGTCGGTAATCCATTATTCAGCCTTTCTATTTCTAGTACGACATTGTCAAAGCATATGGGTTATCAAACATGGACATCACTCCAGAACAGACGATCGACAGCTGAGTTCCTGCTCTGGGTGTCTTGGGTAGGACTGTTAGTGCGCATACTACCCATTCTATTGACGAGCAGGAGGCAATTGACATCACTACCCCATCGAACTTCCGCCAAGCGTCTCTATCACACCACCGCTCCTTGACATCAATGCTACTCACCCAGCGTCGTGTTCACGACTGGAAGTCTGACTTACTACAGTGACATACCACCACATAGCTGAACTATGGCCAATTACCACATCGCACGTAGCCCCCTTCCCCTTTAGTACTCAGCACCCGCATGCATGGCACCCGCACGGGAACTACCTTGCCTACCTACATATAAGATATCCGGCAAGGGAAAGTGGTCCGTGGGGGGCAGCCGTATTACGTTCTCGCTATAGAAACTACCATTGGGCCGATGATCTATGACAGCAGTCGCTCTAGCGTACCACCAGGGTATCACTACGGCTAAAGTTGTCGGAACTTGACATGATAACACCACTCGATGTATAAAGGGGCCTGAGTGGAGCCTTGTAGTGTTGATCTTTTGACACTGATGCCAAGCCAGCACCAGTGCATCGCCGCGTGTCACTATTAGTTACTATGCACGTGAACATGGGTTTAGATAGACATATTTTTTTAGAAGTCGAGTCACCAAATTGCTCTATTCAAAAGATGCAACCGCTGAGCTATCACAATGGATACCATTTGGGCAAACTATATCGCGAGGCTATGAGAAGCTTTAGAGGCCCTCCCCAAAGTGGCAAAGCCGCACATGTCCAGTGATGCATTGTTGCAGCTTGGGGTGACATGCTTCTGCTTGGCCTAAGCAGAAACGAGACATTTAAGCTCACTTGGTGTGCCTTTGCTTACATGGGATGACTTCGCGACTCTTAAGATAAATCGAAGTCATGCTAGCTCATCTTGGGTGGGTTGCAAACATTATGGATAAAGATGCTGATCAGTGACAGCTTGGCTTAGTGACGTGTTAGTAATGTGATTGAAGTTGATAATGTGTGCTGCCTCTCCGTCTATTCGGTAGCATTCCAAGTCAACAAATGTAGCGGCAGAGAGAAAACCCATAACCTCTCTACAGCATAAAAAATTGACTTATCTCACGGCGATTATTCTGTTCTCTTTTTATATCAGTGTGTTTTCGATAAAACATAGCCCTGAGTTCTGTACCTTTGTCATCGCCTGCGGAAGAGAGAAACCCATGGCAGTGTGGTATCAGATGATCGTGGAGCCACTCGTTGGATGGAGCTGGCAGCGAATAGCTGCATGTCTCCTCTGCGCGTGGCTTGCGTATCTGATTATTGTAGGAGTCTATCGACTATACTTCCATCCCTTAGCCAAGTTCCCTGGCCCAAGGCTAGCCTCGGTAACACAGTGGTACGAAATATTCTATGATATCTTTCACAAGGGACAGTTCACCTTTGAAATTCAGCGCATGCACCAAAAGTATGGTATGTTGGCGTCTCTCTTGGACCACAAAAAGAGCCAGTTGCTTCAATATTGCTATACATATCGCTATAGCTGATTTTGTACCCAATATCTATGAGGGCCCCAGAAACTGACGGAGTGCACACAGGACCCATAGTGCGCATCAACCCAGAGGAGCTTCACATAGATGATCCTGACTACTACGACGTTATCTATGCGACTGGCAAACCCTACGATAAGATGCAGTACTTTTCGGACCGCCTTAATATGCCACTATCGTCATTCGCGACAGCTGGATCCGACCTACATAAGACTCGGCGCGCCGCAATAGCTCCCTTTTTCTCGAAGCAGAGAGTGTCTGCATATAATCATCTTATCCAAGACATCGTTGATCATATGTCCCATCGCCTTTTGACTGAGTACGCCGGTACGGGCAAGGTATTAAACCTCGCCCAGATGTGGGGGGCCATGACCTCTGATATTATTACCGACGTTGTCTTTGCAAGGCCGATGGGCTACATCAATTGCCCCGACTTTGATTCGCAGTTCACTACAGCTGTATGCGACATGCTGTTCACATCTCACATTAGAGCACACTTCCCTATCTTCCTGACGGTGACGAATACCTTGCCAAGTTGGTTGGTGAAAATCTTAGCCCCAGCAGTGAAGCCAGTAATTGAATATGAAGAGGTATGTTATTCCATTAGGAAACGATATCATTACGCTTGGGAGCGATATCCCTGGGTATCAAATAGCGGGTTCCATGTTTACTCATTATCACAGATGTTAGAGCTACAGATCAAAGATATCTTAGCTGGACGCAATGAGGAGGCAAAGCTATCATCTCACAAGACCGTCTTCCATGACATTTTGTCCTCGGGCCTACCTCCCTGCGAGCTCACTGCTGGTAGGCTGCAAAATGAAGCTATGAGCGTAATTGCGGCTGGAGTCGAGACGACACGGTGGGCACTGACTGTCGGCTGCTACCATATTCTCGCCAACGCAGAAATTGAGCAACGCCTACGATCTGAGCTCAAATGCGCAATACCGGATCCAACTGGGATGGTCTCCGTACCAGAGCTGGAGAAGCTGCCATATTTGACAGCTGTCATTCAGGAGAGTAAGATATATCTCATGGATCTGACTGTTCCGCAGTCTGATTTTTCCCTGGATATGGTGCAACAGGAAGCTGATTCAATCAGGCCTTAGAATGGCATACGGATTGTGTCAACGGCTCCCCAGGATAAATCCTCGCTCACATTGGCAATATGCCCATTACAGCATCCCACCCGGAACGCCAGTGAGTATGGACGCATATCACATGCACAATAACGAGAGCGTCTTTCCGGAATCCAATACATTCAAACCTGAGCGCTGGCTGAACAATCCCGTGGGCCCGGACGGGAAGACACCGCTCAGTCACTACATGGTGGCTTTTTCTAAGGGCACCCGCATGTGCATTGGGATGAACATGGCCTACTCTGAGCTATACATCGGCCTCGCAACCATGTTCCGGCGACATCGGTTCATGTTATACGAGACCGATAGAAGCGATATTGAATTCGCTATTGACATGATAACGCCGCAGCCAAAGCTGGACTCCAAAGGGGTTCGTGTACTTGTGGGGTGAGGTTCTTGATCATAATTTGAGCTTGGAGCGGTTTGTTTCAGCGCCGAGCTACGATCTATCGCATAGATGCACCTCGCGGGATACTGAGGGTCAGTTGGTCGGCTTTAGGCTAAGATTCGAGGTCTTCGGGCTGCAGAATGGTGTCATTATGACATGATGTGGGTAACTACCATCTTTTGTGTAAGCAGCATTTCTCCAATAGGAGAGGAGGGCCTCTTCAAGCTACTGCACATCATCTAATGTTTCTACATTCAGCTTGCCTTAGAATCTCTCTCGCAATTGTTATTGTTGCTCTATGCGTCTTGAGTACGAGTACGTGATGATGGAGATTCAAAGTGTGAAAACCCTCCTTAGAGAATCATTCGTATAAACTACATTCTGCTTTGTATTTCAAGTTCAACTTATCTATTATACCCCGAGGGAATTTCACCAATATGTCGCAAGTCTATTAGACGTATAAGATATTCCTAGCTTAGAAAATGGTATTTAGAAATGACAGCCGATCTCATCTTCGACAATATTTGTTTACATAAAGAACAGGGCAGCGGACATGGCACCCAGTAATACGGTCATGCTGACCTGGTAAGACGCGAAGCCGGCACTGTCATCGTTGCTCCCACCGTTACTCGACTTCTTGTTCTCGGGCACCTTGGTCGAGTTGGCATTCTCCCATGTCTTGTTGTAAGAGTAGCCCGGATCGTCCGTGATGGTCTCGTTGAATTTGGAACCAGGGCCGTCGACAGATCCCTCCACGCACACCGAGGTATCACCGCTCGAGTACTTGGCCACGGCGCGCCACAGCTGGGTGAGGTCGCGGATCATATCCCCAGTCCAGAAGATGCGGCAGTTGGCAGCCTCGTAGGTGAAAGCGAGCGGGCTGTCGGGGCTTGATGCGCGAATCTCGTCCAGGGCGTTGACTGAGCTGTCAAAGATCTTGGTAGGCGAATTTCTGAGTGGCGCGGGCAATGAACGGATGTCACTGCTAGTCAAGTTGAGCCCCTGGAGGATGGCAGCAGTACCGCCTTTGATGCTGGTGTCTGCATATTTCATCAATGAGATGATCGCATCAATAGCCGAAGAGAAAAAGGTATGGGGCAGAATGTTGCTGCCGCGAGTTCCGCAGACGCCCTGCATGGGACCGTATTGCGGGATGCCACCGACAACGACACTCTTAACCCCGCCGTCAGTCTTCATCAGCTCGGCAAAGAGAGTGCAAGTGCTCGCACACCAGCCGTCGAGGAGGAGGGTGATGTCCTCGCCCTTCCAAGGTTGTTCGTAGGACAGCTTGTTGGTACCGTAACCTGCGAGATAGGGGCCCATGTCAACACCGCTGGCCCATGCTGGATCAGAAAGATTGTAGCGACCCGTCTGGGTGAAATTGTCGCCATGGATAGTACGAGGGCCGGAAAACTCTGTGTAGGAGGCCCAGCTTTCTCCGTTGGGTTTCATCGTATGAAGAGTATTCAACGATGCCGCCCTTCCAGGTGCGGTGAACTGTGAATATATATCGCTTGGGGCGTTCTCGTCAGACAGTACCTCAGTGACGATTTTGCCGATAGTCCTCAGGCTGGGTGTGGATCGTGCACGGAAGGACAAGGTGGGAAGGGTATCGGGGAAGAACTGGCGGAAAGTGTTGAAACCGAGCAGGAATGTGCCGCCGGTGTTGCCAGAAAGGTCGATGACAATCTTCTTCATACCGGCATCCTTGGCCTCACGGATAAACTCTGCTACGGCGTCACTAAAGCTCTGCGAGTCGGCCGAACCTGGAGACGAGCTGGCGGTGGAGAAGCTGGGCAAGCTGAGCACACCGACGGAGTCATTCTTGAGGAGGTACCCGGACACGAAACCACCACTGGTGAAGTTTTCTTGCTTGACAACGGGGTCCTTTGGATAGCCAATGACAGGCACGAATTGGGCGCCTGTGCTGGTTGGTGCGCTACTCTGGGCCGACGTCGTAGCTCTGCTTCCGACGCGAGTGGTTGTAGTGGAGGTTTCGTCTTCGTCCTCAGCACGCGAAGAAAGCTTGGTACTGTAAACTCGTGCATCGAAAATGGCAATGGGACTAGTCAAGTTCTGCCGGAGGAGGTTCCAGGAAGAGGTAGCTTGGTAGAGCCACTCGGAGGTTGTACCATTGGCAAAGCGAACCGTGATCGAGGGGCCGTTGTAGATGGAGGTGGATTGGAACAGAGTCGGATAATATGACAGGCTGCTCCCAGAGCCAATAATGCCGAAAAGTACCTGTGAGCTGTACATGATGGCGTTCCAGTCGGCGTGAGATTCAATGAGAGCGGTAGGGGCCTTCGTTTCGATATAGTTGCGGAGGTAGTCGAAGACGGTCTGGTTGTTGATCTCGACAATGGGGGAGATGTTGTTCTTGTTGAGCAGCACATCATTAGAGGCGTAGACTTCAGGCAGGGACTTGCCATCAGCGGAAACGGAGATGAGGCCGTCAGGGAGCACCTATGAGAAGACACCGAGGACGCCTCCGTTGTATTTCATGTGACCTTCGCGAGCGGTGATGAAGATTTGTTTTATTGCTACCTCCATCTCATAGGTGCTCTTGTATTTTCCCTCGCTGAGGCTCTGAACAACTTGGTCGAGGCGTCCCATGACATCGACAGGCAGCGACTGGTATGACTTTGGGGGGTCCTTCAGATAGGGGATAGTAGTATCAAACTCGTAGTACCGCTTGAGAAGCTCGATGGTTGTGATGCTGGCATTGACATCAAGCGGCACTGAATTTATACACTCGAATGCTTTCTGGGCATCGAACCTCACATAGTATCCCAGATCGCCATCTTTCGGTAGCTTAATCTTCGACAGAGCTTGACTCTGGGAACTGGCCACGGACTGGCAAGCGTTCATAGTCTGGGATGGAGCGGCGCTTCTGGTTGTCGTTGCAGCCAACGCAGCCGGCGCTTGGGAAGCTGCGAGTGCCGCGAGCCAGAGGCTCTTCGAGGGGAAGATCATGATTGAGACGGGAAACTGATGATCAACCAAGTGCGGGATTACTTTCGGCTTGGCAAACAGCAATCATAGAATGTGGTTGTACGACACTGAGCAAGATTATATAGCTTTTCTGCCTACCACAATGACTAGGCTTCCAAGTTAGCTATCCCTTAAATAAACAAGGATAAAGCCTTGCAGGGGTTCTGCCAAGCAACTACCTTAGTTTGCTGGATGGCCGATTTACCCGTTCATGAAACGGTAAGCATTGTGCCTGTCTTGACTCGCTCAGCCCAGTGAATGCTCAGCCCTAAGTGAGACTGGGACGCGTGGCGTAACCTAGAGAACTGCCGAGGAGGCGCTTTACCTGAAGGAGGAGAAAATAGTCATCAAGGGAATTGTTTTACATGGGTACAACTGCCAGCATTAATGAGAAACGGTATATTTGGTGGATATCCTTACAATATAACCCCTAACCCTGCGAATCTGACCTCAGAACTAACAAGCGCTTGATTACAGCCCAACCAGGGGCAGTTGTAAACTTGTATCAGCCTCAAGCACATTTTGCCACGCGTGTTCATCCGCCTTCGTCGCGCCACAATCCACTATTGGGGCCAAGGTCATGTCCGGTAGTGACACAAGTTTGTTCCCTCGGATCATTGATAGACTAGGCGCCATTGGATCTATGGACTATGCAGAAAATGATTCAGGCTTGTCAATGTGAAAACAATAATCATAGGTCTAAGACGGTATTTGAAGGTATCCTCAGGTTTCACACAGATTCGGAACTCCGCGGAGTTGCCCCATGGCTCATTGTCAGATTTACTATTGCCAAGACATGGCTTCTTCACGAAAATATTGGGCCTCTCGCAACTCGACCTATCTAAAGGAAAGCCGAGACGGACCAATTGGACGACCTTGTTACCCGTAGTTTCTATCTACCCTGCCCCTAGGACCTCTTCTCCAAACACCGCTTGCCGGTGTCGTGGGGTCTAGCCTTACGAGATTCCTCCCTTCGACAGATAGCTTAACATCTTTGTCCCATATGAGACAGGGTGCCTAAGCTAGGGCATATCGATATGTATATTATTCTCATAAAGCTTACAACGGAACATATATCTCAATGATTAATAGCTTCTCTGCTATTTCTGCCATCTGCATAATCGGAGCAAAGTGGAATTATCCGTGACTGTGCCTAGTTTATAAATAAACTTACAAGGCTGATGATTATGGGGTAGGCTATGGCACTGCTACGTAGCAGTCCCACCAATGTAAGCAGGGGTAGAATTCTTGTTGGTTGTTGGGCCTCCCTGGTGAATTGCACTCAGACCAACAGAGGTTCCTGTCTGCTCTCCGCGTTTACCTCATATCCTTGTTGATACAACTGTGAGTTGATCAAGCAGTGTGCATCGTAAACCCCAAACATGCAACGGCAGGAATATTTATTGGATACTAAGTTTTTATTTATGGGAGCGGCACATAGGATGATTTGAAAACTACCGAAATTAGGTGTAAGCTGGGCAGCAAACGGCTGATTACGGGGCTTACGGGGATGTATCAGCGTAGATTGATTTCACCGACAATCCAAAGAGGGAAAATCCAATACCTTTGCACGACAAATGTACCCTGATAGAGGATAGCGCGGAAACAGATTTGAACTTGAACCTTCCAGATCGGACCCGAATAACCTCCAATGTCCGCGTTGGACGGCGGGACTCATTACTGGGGGCCTAAACCCGCCGACCCCTATCTTCGGATTTAGGCACCCCAGTATTAGATTTTCCCTCCATAGCAATGGCCATAAGGAGAAATCAATGCGAGTATTGGTGGCTAATACGAGCCAAAGTATACAACGTACAACGGAAGAGCTCGTTGTTAGGTGATGCAAAGTTAGATGATTGTAACAGCTTGTGCCAGGTCTGATAATCTTTCATCAGCAGAATTCAACCCTTCTTTTGTCCATTTCTATTGTGGCGATTCCAGCCTGTTACTCACCAAAACGTCTCCTCGTTGAGATCAGTGAATCTGTACATTTTGAGAAAGAGATCATCTGGTGTTGACGACTGAAAAACTTTCTTCAGCACTAAACCAAAGACGTGGAGTCCGTCATCGATTTGAATTAGCATAAACAATAGCCTCTCCTGTTGACGGGCCACGATAAACTGCCCTCGGCTTGTGCCCATGTTCTCAAGAGAGCACATCTCATTCCACTCTCCTGTCAAGTCTGGCCCGATCAAACAGGGTGCCGCTGAGTCACCAGCTTGGCCAACCGAGGCAATCTGGTATTCGGAGGGGGTTTCCATTTTGGTTTGGTCTCCCGTTGGCTCCACACGAGCCCAGACAACAATCCCTCGAAGGAACAGCTTACAGGAGGTGAAACTGTGAGTGTCGAGCGGATCATTTGACTGGATGATGACATTAATCACTGAAAGTGAAAGCGAGACTTCCTCTCGTGCAATGTATCTTAGGTCGTACATGACGGGACCCTCTACATTTACCCATAACCACGTTGGTGCTACGTAAGTCGTTGCCGTGTAGCGATCAAATTTGAACCGGGAATCGATATCCGGTACCCAACATAACTGCCTGTGGAGGCCTTCGTCCAGATTCCAGCGACACACTCGTCGCCCGTCGCATCTCGCATTCTATTGGCCAGTCCGGTCAGAGCAATAAACTTGTCAGAGTTCCGTGAGATCTCGCATTCAGAATATTGGCCGACCAGTGCTGACCAGGCCTGGCGCAGCTTTGACTCGTCGTCGAATCCAAGCCATGATGTCCCCCAGGTATAGTGTCTTGATTCAGGGTTGTAAGATCCCAGAGCTCAACTGTTATAGAGAGGCATCTTAATAAGTTCTAGGTAGAAAGGATGCATGGTGGAAGTAATAGTATGTGCTGTCGCCTTTCATAAGCCGTACTAGTTGTACTATACCCCAGCAATGACTCAATGTCAGATAAGGCATCGAGCCAAGGTCGGCGCCCCTAACCAGCCTCCACGCGTAGTCCTTGCTAGTTTGTCCTTCCCATTCCTCAATCAGCCTGTCAGACATGAAAGGTTGTAACTGTGCCTTCTTTGCTCTACAGTTTTCGTGGGATTTCATGCAGGCTTCGTAAGCATTGAAGCCAAAGGTCTGGTTGCGCACTTGTTGAGAAAGTGCTGACATCGACCTTCTGATTCATTGCGGAGGTGGGATCTCCGGGTGGGAAAGCTGAGAAATGTGCATGGATCGATTCTTTTCCCGTTGAACATATCATCCGAAGAGTCATCTCCTCGTCGCGGCGGAACGTGACTCGACTGACTGGAACTTCCTTCGGGAGCCATGCAGATTTTCAGGCGAGGGATCCGAAGCCTCGAGGTGCTCCTAGGCGAGGCTCCAGTGGTAGGAGCATATGAAGCAATTGTCCTTCCTTGCCGCACCGAGTACAGCCGCGGAATTGTGGATAAAGTGTTCACATCGGCACTTGGTAACTATTACCAATATGATCAGGGTCTCGCATTCTTGGCACAACATGTCCAATGACAACGAGCGAATTCACTTTCAACGCGTTAGATGGCGGAAATAAGCCGCGACCGGTTCAGCAACGGGGAGTCGCATCCTCTTTGACCTATTCACCAATCATGTGGTCAGCATTCCGAGATTACAATTGATGGTGGCTATGCTGGTTTGGATGCGGGGCTGTGTTGAACTCGTGCTTGACCGAATCCATATTCACAATCCTGCCTCATCAACACCTACCAACTCATTTTAATGTCTGTACCATACATATTCACTCATCATTCAATTGAGGATTATCCCCGTCCAAGTATGTTGTGGTCTGATCATGATCAGCCAGGAGGTATTTCTCTTTGCTAGCCCTCTTGCAACCAAACTTGTATTGAGTGAGTTTTTTCGATACTCCTAGGTCTTTCGATCACAGTCCGCACAGAAAATCTCCATCTTGTGTCTGAGAACATTTAGTCAACGCTACTAGGAATTCCCAGTAGGCGAATTATCAGATCTTGATACCTTATCTTTATACTCGCTCTATCCAGCAAAACGAGTGGTAGGAAAACTTCGCTGATACCCGTATTGAAATATATCCAGATTTACTAGAAAGTGGTTGCACCGCCTATCACTCCAGAAGATTCAAATGGTCAAACGTCACGGGGTTCCGAGATATTCATCCATTGTCTAGGTAAGATCATTCTACCATGCCTTGGTGTTCACTCTCCCTGTGCACTATCGCTCTGAAACTAAGTGATTCCTACAATGAGCCTCGGGTGCCAAACCATGGTCTCGATATTTATCCCCTTGCGCTTCCAGGAGAGTCCGCTTAGATCCTAAAAGCAGAAGAACATTGCCCACTCAAATTCTTCAACCGACCCTCTAGAGAGTCCCGTCGTGTGTATGGACCGGATTCTGCTCTTCTTACCCGATGACATGATGCTCTGGTACCTTTGTCAGACAATATAGGCACCCATATTATCCCAATGAGCAGAAAGCTGAATAATGAGCTGCAAAGAAAAGTACCCCGATACACCAAATTAGGCTTGATCAGCTTATTCGGATGTGATGAGAGCAAATAAGCTGCATATCATGTAGTATCCCTTATAACATGACCTCTGTCAGTATCATGACAGCCAAGACCTACCAGTGCAACATGAATCCGAACCTAGAAGCTCGTGAAAGTGATAATTCCATGCTGTCATGCGAGTTGAAGCTTCTGGTGCTTCTTCGGGGCCCTTTGGAGTAGAATGACCAACCTGAAAGCAGTAGGTAAGGCTGGCTCATTATGCGTCTCTTCACAATAGCTGATTCCTTGGCATCGGCATCTTCTTGCCGCAGCTACAAGCCCACCATCATAACCACATTGTTATATGGTTCTTGAAATTCATGTTTCGCTCATACTTTGCTATAAATTAACCAATTCTCCCTCTCGTTGGAAGACTAAATCGACCACAGTCGGATACCAAGCATCACAGAAACACCCATCCTAGAGTCCACTGATAGCAAAGTTTCGCACATCCGTCTCCATTACTCACTAGTCAAAATGCGTTTCGTTCAAAACTTTCTTGCCCTCGGCACTCTGTTTGCTTTCGGCCTTACCGAGGCCTGTGCCGGAGCGAAGCCAGCCATAAATAGCGACTACACTATCACCGTCAACCTGTTTGGAGATAACACCTGTTGCTCTGGCGCTTTTGGGAAGACCGTCATGGGCAACTTGGGAACATGCCACACTGCCAGCCAGCCTTTTGGGAGCATTACCGAGGCCGTTGGACAGGGTATGTTCGGCCGCAGCATCAAGGTGCTAGCATATCCCGATTCCTCCTGCAGCAGTAGCAGCTATGTGTATTGGGATATCAGCAACAAGGTCGAGTGCTTCTGGAGCAACTTTCCGGACTCGTACCGCAGCTTTAAAATTCAAGTCATTGTAAGAGATGAGCCCGTCCCGTACTCATATCAGTCATTAGCTCGCTATTCCAGATCCCAAACTGACGCAATATCAGAGCACCGCAAAGGAACTGCAGAGTGCGGAAAACGAAGAGGAGAGCGCTATTCCAAATGCTCACCAACTTCCCGCGTCGGCATGATAAGGGGTCGCCTTATGAGTGTAGCTCCAAAAATAAATTACCTTTCAATTGTGGGGTACTTCGGTTCTCCTTGCCCATGGACCACAGAGACGTTCAACACTCTACAAACATGGGATTCGGGCAGCTGTTTTCAACAAGCAAGCTTGATGGGGCGCCAAATACGGAGGACTCTGTTATCAATCAGACGCCGAATAGTCAAAAGTAGCATCAATGAACAAATTGCGTCTCAACACACTTACTGGTACTAAAACGTAATGATGGGTATTAAGCAATCAGAGTAATTCGTTGCATGAAAACCCAATCTGAAACAAGACAATTTGGACTCTTCAGCATGTGAATTCAATCAACTCTTTCCTGTGAACAAGTCTTACTTCATGCTGTAAGCACAATTCGCCGAGGATTCGCGTGTCAGCCTCGGACTGTAACCATAACTTGCGGAGTGTTGTGCGGGGTAGTACGTAAATGATGCCAAGCGAATATTTCAACGGCCCTATCTGAGTTCAAGACCGATCCGCAGATGGCCGATAGCCTATTCTTAGAGTGGTGTTTCTCACAATTTCATCGAGATAGCCTAATCGTAGAGTGGATGGCCGATAGCCTATTCGTGGGGTGGTATTTCTCACAATTTCATGTCCTCGGCCATGCGGACACCACGGCTATGTCTTATTCAACGCTTGGCAAACTAGAGGTGTTTTCCCTTTTCGTCAAGATTATCTGACAATTAGACCTCAATGAAAGGGCCCCAGAGATTATGCTACCAAATATTGCTCTAATTGCATTCGAACATGTGATGAGGTCGGAGAGCATGTATTTGACGAACTCAGATTGTTCACGCGCGGTGAGCACACCTGTTTGGTGGGTAGATTTTTCCCCGTCTTACAACCACCCAGAGGAATACCCAATTCCACGGTCTCGAGCTTACCCATCCACCCGCGTCTACTTGAACTTATCACAGCATGTTGAGCATTTTATTCCTGTCTCTCACTCCAGAAGTCCCTTACCATTACAGTGTAATGGGTTAACGAATTTTCTCGCTAAACATCTGACCGAAGTAACTGACTCCACCACCAATCCAACTCTTGGAGTCTTCCCCGTATATTACTGACATCAGCTGCATACGAATTGTGTGCTGACTGCACAACAAGCCATATCTCGGACTATTAACCTTAGCAATATGATTCCGAGTACTCCCGATGGGGGTATACTTTAGAAAATGACTGATCTAAATTCTCAGTTGGCACGTCGTGCCTAGCATCCCCTTCTCAATGCAGTACAGGGTAGCCCGTTTCTCAGATGCTGCCTAGCCCACCCCGGTCGCTTCCTCGCTTACATGAGATATTGTTTCAGTTACTTCGGGCCAGGGTTGTGTCAAAAGAGGCAGAGGCAGCTAAACCCTGCGTAATACGATCTGAATCGAATGTCTCGGAGCCAGAGCCGAACATCTGAGATCATAAACTACGATTTCGTCCGCTCGAGCATCCAAACTGGTTTCGTGGTCTAACGGTCATGACTACAGGTTCTGATCCTGTCAGCGAGGGTTCGACTCCCTCCGAGACCTTCCTTTTTGCTTTTTGTCTGAAACCCCACAGCTCCCACCATTGGAATATAAGCATCGGCAACTTCTTTATTTGTTGTCTCATTGGTAAATTGGAACTTCAATATTCCGGAGGCTACCCAACTGCCTAGTCCAAGGCCCCAAGGATGCTCCGGTTTGCCTCCAAATACTTGTACGTGAACGATTCGAGGCTGGTTTGGAGCTTGAATAACAATTGATCGTGTATTTAAGGTATGGATAAGATTCGAGAACAAAACTATTGAGATCCATACGATATTTTTGTTCATTTTTTTGAGTGCTATAATATTGACTCAAACAATCGGGGATTATTCCGCTTATTTATCAAGTGACATTGATATCGCCCCGAAAGAGCGAGTCGACCGTTTCCCGACGGTCGCAATTTCAATTCCGACTATTTGTTCTGCTTGGGGTAAAGAAGTTTCTTGGTCCTCAAACAGTGCAACATTGTGATAAAGACACCAACCCACACAATAATTAGAACCACAGTCAAAACACAAGCGCAAATGTGAATGCCTTTGCTATCGAAGACCTTGCTCATGGTTTGGGTAGCCGTAACCTACAAGAGGTGAGATACTTCTCGTCAGTACGACAAATAGGATTGGGCGTGTGGGTGCAATGGCGGGCCACGTACAAGTGCGGTGTTGGGAAACACAAACGACCACCAAGTCATCTGGAATGGAATCGAGCTTCCCGTACGAACATACTTCCATAGTGAGCCAAGCGAGACGAGAAAGAACCATATGCAGAGGCCCCAAAACCAAAGGCCAACCAAAACAGACAAGACTTTGAGAATATCCACGGTCAACTCAGACCCCAAGAAACCAGGAGGGACGATAAGGTTGGCTTGCTGTCCGAGTTGCACTAATAAACATGAGCGGGATGAGCCAAGACAGTAAGTGGAGGCTATAGAAGGGTTGTCATTTTACCTATCCCAGCGGCAGTGAAGCCATATGGACCAATTGATATGAACTAATGATGGAGTATTAGTCGCCCAGTAGAGGATAACGCTGCTGGCATCGGAGTACTCACAACACCAGGCCGCTGTATGTCTCGAGGTAGCTTCTGAGTCATCAGTCTGTAAATAAAGGCAGCAGATATCATGAAGGCAATTAAGCACCCTGTTCCCTGTAGAGTGACAGCGCACATTGCCACAGCAGGCTTATTTAGCACCCATAAATTACCAGAACGTTCGGCAGCGGCGATCAAGTTTGCCGCGAATGGTGCAATTACAAGAAGAGGGTATGCCGGAAAGACCCATGTGGGAGTCATCGTGTGGACTGGGAATACTCTAGTTTATAAGATTAGCATATGGGCTTCTCTGAGGCATGGTTTATTAGGCGAGGGGAATGCTTCACTGTGTCGACCACAAAATTAGATACATCCCAGCACTAGCGAGGACACTCGACGCGACATAAAACCAAAATAAAACCTGCAGGGTTTTAAAGAGCCAAAATCCGGAATGCTCAACGCCATACTGACAAGTATTGGTCAAGATAATTGCGATGCTGCATAATATTGAGACACATCAGTCATTGTCTAATTATTGCTGTAAGAACGCGTGTGACTCACGATACGAACTATAAAGCTAAGCATTTCTGAACAAAGTAGTGGCAGAGGGATATATACTCACAAATGCGGGAATGAACAAACATTCAAATTGATCAGTAAAGGATTTTATAAAGCTGCCTCGCATGAGGTGAAAGCGAACGCTTATACAGACACAGTTGTTTAAAAATAAAACAATGTTGAGCAGATAAAAGAAAAGTCCAAAGCCATTCACCCAGGCAGAGGTGTACCCCACTAATTCAAATTGTTACTTTTCAAATATATTGGATAGATGACTAGGAAGAAAAGCACGTACAGCCATATATGACATTCGCAACACCTCCGGTTGCCATAGTCTACGAGTTCGGTGAGTAATCTTGCTTGCTGGGCACTGGCCGGAAGGGAGCTTGAACGACCGCACCATTGTAAAATAAGTCCATTGATAACATTTGATACGATCCTTTATAGAAACCTTGGAATTTGGTGGTATCTTTTCAGCCGTGGCAACTACATCGTCCAAAGCAGCTAGGCTTGCACTGAGAACGTGGGGATCAGGGGGCAGGGCAGCCACATATGACGGTCGAGTAGGAAGTGCCGGCCGAGACCGAACATGAATTTGAGAGACCGGTGTCATAGTCCCTGGTGCTGTTGCGAAATACTCGCGATAGTTCTCCTCGGTCGGGGACTCGTAGCCGTGCCCCGGGCCAGGAGGAGAAGCCGTCCCCGCACCGCCCCGGATAACTGGAAGAGGGAGTGCCATCTTACGCCGATCGAACGAATACACAATCGGGAGCCCCAGAAGCACGATGTGTTAGTCTCCGATCATCCAAATGCGGACATCGGCGTGCCACCATAAAGCCGGTAGAGGAATGGCATAAAAAGTCTCAACTACGATGGTGGACCGGATCGGCTTGTCGGCTCTTGGAAATATCCCATATAAACATGCACGCTAAGGCATGACATCATCAAATGCTGACTCACACAGGAGGAGTTGTCGGATATCGGACGGGGAGAAAACAGCATTCGAGAGCAACATTTCCGAGAGTTATGGTGCAATACTATCTGACGCTTGAGGGGCGGAGCCTACCTAAGGGAATAGATTTGATATGATTTAATTAGCAAGCTGAAGATGTTCAAGCGAAGACAATCATCATGTAAGCTCGTTTTCATATTATTACTTTCGTCAAACATGCCTTAAGGAAGCCGACGCGCTGCTAGACGCGTACTCGGACTTGTTTTCTGACGAGTCGGTCATTCGGTGATGAATACCACACATATTGTTGAGATATTACGTGGGCTTGATATGAGTTATTTCTTTGTAGACTCTACTGCATTATACTGCCATAGGCGGCTCGGGCTTGATAGATTATCGGCTCAAAACTGGCGCCAATCCAAAGATCTATGGTGAAGATGGCATCGGGAATTCGCGTTTCGAGATTGCGGTAGATGTAATAAATTTTCAGGCGTGAGATCAGTTTGAGGCTCGAGCGGTGGTTCCAGCGCCAACGGTATGCTGGGCTATGCCATGAAAATCCATCAGAAAAGGTTGAGGCGCCATGAACTAATACTTCATTACCTGATCAACCATTCATGCGATTGAGTTCTTGCTGTAAGAATCCCGTTGGAGAATCAGTAGCTCATCTAATTTGCCAAAGTCGACTGGTATCCATAGCTCGCGAGCGTCTCAAGAAGGTCTGTTTCGACATGAATCAATAGGGTGATCGAGAGGCGACAATTCTTCATTATGCAAGTGATGCGCCGAGGACCAGTGTTGAATTGACAGAGCTACTTCTTGAGCAGCCAGGATCAACTCTTGTGAAAACCCGTACCCCCCAAACAGAGGCTCCGCTTGACCGAGCTCTCAGGCTCGGAACAACAGAACAAGTGCGGCTCTGGGTGGGCGAAGGATTCTTCCCTTACCAAGGCCTTCTTCTAGGTAGGAGCCACTTTGGCATGACACATGGTTGCCTTAAATGTTACATATGAAGTCACATCAGACAAGATCTGACTTCTGGTAGGTCGCTACAAAGTTGGTCCTTCAAAACGAACATTGAAGTCTAATTGCTGCCATTGCGGTGGCGCGACATCCTCCCACATCGCTGCTCCATGTTTTTGCGTAGACTTGGTAAGCTATCTGATCAAGCATCACTTGATATAGGTGATAGAATACCGCTCCACGCTCTACGACTCGAGTTGGTATAACATACGAAGAAGATAAAACATAGGGTGTTATAAGAATATTGCTATACTATAGGTAGATTTAATGTACTTCAAACAGATACATTAATGAACTCCACGGGATCTCCTAAAATCTCAAACCAGAAGACACGGCGGCAACGCAGATTGCCGTAGACCGGCTCGACAAAATTTCCGCTTAGGTCAAGTAATCATGATTTTATGGCCCAATATCAAGGAACTCCTCCTTAAGGAATTCATGGTGGTTTAGAGCTATGATGGGGCCAATGTTATGTCCCTCGGATTACCATCTTCTGGCCCTCTATTTTACCTTCCCATTCCATGAATTCATTGCCTCCAGTCGACTGTGCCTCGTGATCTGAATTTGACTGCCCGAAATATTATAAATACAGAAAGAAGAGCTGCCTGGTAATACTTAAGTCCATGAGAGTGTCCAGCGAGAATCATCGTGACATACTAGAGCTCAAAGGGAAAGTAGAATATGATACGTTGCGCAAGTAGGCTGACGTCAAAACAACCCCCAAACCGTGGCTCTCATGGTTTGAGACGGCAGGTCGGGATCAAAAGCCCCAGTTGTTGCAACCTGTCCTCATGGAACAGGAAGTCCCGAAGATCGGCAGCACTGGTGCTCGAGCCATGGATGTAACCTTGCTGCACGTGCCACTTTATCCAAGGCATCTCGCCCGCGCAGCAGCCTAAAGCGGTATTAATGCATTGAACCTATGCTGAACTCCTCATAGGCCAATGGAACCTTCTACTTTGGCCCCAATTTGACAAAGGCCCTGTGGGGAAGAAAGACAGTTGTATGTCTCTTATCAGTGAAGTCTCCAGAGAACTTTTTTCCCTTGTCCTTTCATACGGTTTTGGGAGCCAGTTCGGAGATATTGTCTATAGTGCAATCGGCACGACTAGATAACACATGAAGCAAGATGCGACGAGAAACGAGATCGCTCCAGGAAACAGAGTAGAGAATGATATTTCTCCATGATTGGTTCTCGCGGAAGACGTTCGCTGCAACTTGCATGCTAAGGTGAGCAGCTTGGCAGCTTTCCGGACCATGGTCACACCACCCACCCCTGTTCTCCTCTCACGCCGATCACGCTTGGATGGTACCATTCGAGGCCCTGCGGTCTAGCGAGAAATGGCAGGTCAGAGATTCGGCATGAGTTACAGGACCAGAAACCAAGAAGCTGATAAAAAAAATCCCACACCGCATAGCAACGTAGTTATCGAAATGTCCAAGCACCTACTTGAATTATGCAAGCTCTACTCTGTCTAGATAGTTTTTAGAGTAGACGAAGAGCAGCTGACGCCTCGCCACGTACTACCCCTCCTCACGGAGAGGCTCCCCCCGGGATGCTGTATCGGCTGGGTATCTGGGAGACGTGGGTGAGGGGTAGCCAAGGTAACAACGAATCGCGGGACGATGGGTCCGGAACAACAGCTTCCTTGCACGTAACAGCGAGACTTGAAACGGAGCCTAGGGCTAGATTTGCCGTGAGGTGTGGGATAGCGGAAGATCACGCCAACCTCCCTGTTTGTTGCTTGTGAGAATCTGCCATATTAATACACGTTCTCCCGCTCTGTGAATCTGAACCAGGCTGCCCAGCAATTACTCCGCATTTTGCATCTCGCTCAAGATAATCCTGAGACAAATACCCTGGCACTACTGCTCAAGTGCCCACACATGGATTGGCCTTGGCCAATACTGAGATAGCCTCAGCACGGCACGCTCTACTCACACCATTGGAAATTCGGCGAGCCAGCCACAGCCACAATGGAGTTCATGGGCATTTCCACTCCAGGGATGTATTATCCCATAGTTAGGTCGAAGTCAGCGCGGCAATCTCAATCCAAGGAGCTCGTAGCAAGAGAGCCGATCGTGGTCGATGAGGAGCAGGCCGATCCTAACGGGTTTGTTGCAGGACTACCGTAAGCCAATGCCTTTCCCCTGTGTGCATTCGATTTGTTGTAGAAGTCATCACTATTCTTATTATTCTGTCCTTTCTTCGTTATTCATATGTGATCTGATGCTCACTGTAGTTCTATAGGTATCACCTAATAGGCGTGAATACGACACCACCCAGTGAGAGCACTGGATATATCGGTCGTCACAAACACACCTTCAGCAATGTTTCCTCGGCTTCAAATACTTCATCAGCTTCAAATGACTCTTCAGCAACGTATGACTCTATAAGCTCAACTGCGTCTTCAGTACCAAGCGCTGCCCCAGCATCAGAGGGATCGACAACAAGTCGATACAGCTCAGAACAGGTTGATGATGCAAAGACAGACTCAAACACTTCATCCGCGCTGAGCAGCTCATCAGTTTCACTAGCCGAAGATCTGTCGCCTTCTTGGCCTTTATCCGACAATGCAGACAGCAATACAGAGGAGTCGGACTCATCACCCGACAAGACTCTGCTCGTGAGAAGTCCCAGCAGACGCCTGAGTATCGCCGCCTCATCTACTCGGTACAGAAGATTTTCTTCCTCAGCAAGCAGCCTCATAAGCATGAGTGAGCTGAGCGCATGTGAAGCACCACTAAACATTGTCCCCAAAACACCACCGTTCCCGGCTCGATCCTCGAGCTTGCGAAGCAATTCACGACCAAGCTCCAGAGCATCCACACTGAACTCAGAAGCCTCATCGTTGCCGTCCCGCTCCTACTCGGCACGTAAGACTGTGGCGTTTGCTTCAGTAAAACCTCTTGTACCCCTCATTGAGGAACGTCTTCAGGATGTGCGACGATCCTCCCAGCCTCAGTCCCCAGAGGCAATCAATGAGGCGTTACGGGACTATGAGCTTGAGGCCTCCAAATCAGAACCACCAACAAGGCCCCCACGACCTGAACGAGGCCTCGATCTTTGCGTCAAGGCCATCTACCGCAAAGAACTTCATGCGCTCCAGAAACGGAACCCGGAGCCAATCAACTGCATTGACATGTCGAAACTGGGAACCACCGTCGTCGCAAAACAAGGCAAGAATGTTCTTCATTTCTGGGACATGGAATACGAAGCCCTCCGCTTCGCTATCAAAATCCCCGACTTGTTCCATGCCACCAACAAATATTGCAAGGTTCCCATTCAAAATCATGTCATTCTCTCGGATAAGGCAAAGCTCATCGCTGCCAGCACGCGGCTCGGCAACTCCATCGAGATCTGGAACTGGGCCAAGAAGAAGAAGCTCCAGCGCATCGATCAGGCAGATCGCTGGGTAGCAGCCCGCTTCGAGACTCTCGAAGATGGTTGGAATCCTCTGGCGACCTTCAGGGCTCAGGAGAACGCAATTGACCTGTACGCTGCTACGGACAGGCGCAAGAAGCCATTCGCCAAAGTGCGCAGCATCAACGTCTGTAAAGCAGGACTTCCTCTGCTCCTGGATAATCCGCAGCTTGCGCTCTCGCAATCCTCGCCAGTTCTTGTAGCAGCCACTGGCCCGCGACCTCCCAAGCTTGGCCAAGCACCTCCTGAGCATCAGACCATGCTTGTTGCTTGGGACATATCAGATTATCGAGAGGTGTCCAATGCCCCTCATCGGTTTGTCTGTCCTTGGCAGTACAAGGCTCTGGAGACTGCGGCCCCTTGTGCTCTAGAGACTCACGAAAATCTGGTGGTGTCAATATGGACTCCTGCAGACTGCCGATCGTACAGACACTCGGTGATTGCTGGCCAAGGCGATTGGAGACTTACTCCGGTGCATGTCAAGGTTCGTCATGTCCTCGTATGGAATCTTACACATAACGGCACACGGACATATGAGATCCCAAACACTACATGCTGCATCAGTCCAGACTGCCGGTACATTGCCTACAGCCTAGACACCCGAGAGAAGAGAACTCTGGTCATCTTAAATGCAATCACTGGCCAAAAGGCGTGGTCAATGGTTGAGGAATACACCTCGAGAAGCACAGCACAGCCAGTATTGGGCAAGGCCGCTGAGCTTACATTCTCTAGCGACGGACGAGTGCTGATAGTCACAGATGCAGAAAGGCACACAAAGGTATACGATGTTATTGAGATGGTTCTAGGGAGCAGCCTTCAGTAAATATGCTCCTGGGCCTCTAGATGGTTATTAAAATGAATATCGCTCAAATGTATATATGGGTAAATTGACAGATATTTTACGAGTTACGAATAAGAATTTCTCTGTACTTCTCAAGACCCGCCCCAATGATATTGATGAAAGGCCATTGAGTGTTTCTTTTGAAGAAGTGTGCCCAGATTTTCAGAACTGCAAAGCCGAGCTGACGTGGCTCTCGAAGATCGCCAGGTGGTTCCTCTTCATCTTCAAAATCGACAACGTCGTTCGCTTCTTCCACGATGCTACGTACCCAATGTAGAATGCGGTCTTCGCTATCTGTACCCCGTAATCTGTCAGACGATTTCATATGGAGAACAGATAAATGTAAAATTAATTCACGGCAAGGCACCTACCTGTCAAAGGCGCAGACGCCATTGTTTCTCCCAATTTCCCCAGCCACTTGCTAAGTAAAATACTGCAATCCAGGCTTGACAAGGTGTGCCGAACACTCCAAAAGAAGGCTTGACTCCTTGCCACACGGTCTATTCCAAGCCTAACTGGGATGGACAACATGTGAACAGCGTACAGCAGAGCGGCGATGACACCATCACTGCGCTCAACGCAGGGTGAGCGACTGAGTGCTTTCGCAATGCGAGAAGTGTCGCGTGTCTCCAGCTGTCTGTATGGGCCTAAATTTAGATGTATGCGTACATATGCCAGCGCAAGAAGTGAGCTGGATGTAAACGGAATTGGACCATTCTCGTTGTTGGGATCCAGACTTGACTCGGCCGCTTGCTGCCACCCAGTCGTCCAGGATCGAAGGCCTCGCCTGTTCGTGTAAATGTCAGTATTCGATATACAAACAGTACTAAATTTACGCGGCTTACTCGAGTTTATCTACTTCCTCGGCTGGCAATGCAGCAATATCGCTCGAGACAGGTAGACTGAGTTCACGCACGATATGAATCCGTTGCAAAAGGCCATGCAAAAGTAAGTAGTTCCCCAGGGGTGTAGGTATTGGATCCAAGGGCACCGCCCCATTCTTATTCCTCAACAAAAGGGACAAAGCGTCTTGGAAATACAGCTGTTGTTTCTTGATCTCCTTTGTGGCGGCTTGCCATTGGGCTGCATTTCCTGCCTTCCATTCCCTTGTTGAGCACGGCAGCCTTAGTTTGACTTCGTTACTCAAAAGAACGGGATATACGTTGTACGCAATGCTGTGTGTATGAAGAAAAGAAAAGGCGATCAGTTTCGATCTCCGCCGTGACTCTTGTTCAACCCAAGCTAGCCAGTTATTGTGGGCAGCATTCCGGTGAGCAGACGTTGGTGGCGGAGTATGGTCTGCCATTTCATCGTCCTCTTCAAGGCCAATGTCTCGTAGAACTTGAGCCAGTAGCCCCTGGAGAGCAAAGGCTTCCCTGACCATGGATGCTTTCGGTTCCCAAGTTGCATAACCCATCAACGCAATAAGCGCTCGCACCGTCTCAGTGGGATCAGTGGGCGATATGTCCGTACCTGGGCGTCGATGCAACGTCGGGGTGTTAAGGTTGAGATATGAGCTCGTTCTAGGCCCCAAGCTATCAGGGCTTTTTCTTAACCGCTCCATGAGGATGGCTTTGCCAGCAAAGAACAAGCGCTCTGAACAAGAGTGCTCGAAGCAATACTGAGCCCCTATCGAAGCTATCCCTAGAATGAGCTCCAAGGAATGGTCGAGGACGTTCCATGTACGGCAGTGAATAAATGGCATGTGGGAATGAAAGCCTTCAAACCAAGATGTGATATATCTGGTCAAGGCGTGACGAGAGGGCATTCTAAATGTTGGGTCCAAGACGTCGGAGAACGAATCAAGGCATGCCTTGAGTCCCGCTCTTTGCTCATCGGTAATTTTAAAGCGTTGAGTTTCAGGGTCGACAGCTCGGGGATCTAGATACGAGAAATACATTTAATGTTTTGGTTGCCCAGCTGCCTATAACGGGGTCACTTACTGTTTTCCGAAGCATAATTCGTTATCCTGTTTCCAGTCGGAGCTGATGGGAGCCAGGAGCTAAATGGGGTCCCAGCCCTCTGTCTCGGTCGAGGAGATGGCGACTCTGAAACAAATTGTCGTAATTCCGAGTCAACTACTTCATTCTCATTCTCTTTTTCAGGGCCATTAAAGTATGGACTCCATTCGGCTGGCAATCCCACGCCATCTAAAAAGTTGGCAAATTCCCGGAAATGCGGATCGAAATGTATTGAGTCGCCGAGCACTTGACAACTCATATCCTCTGGGCCAGATGGCTCACCAGTGCTAAACAACCTAGGTGAAAGTAGTTCCGGTGGATATTGTGTTCGATTGTCAACATTTCTCCCATCTCGACTGTCAAGTTGCAAAGGCAACGTCCCGGGCTGAATTTGTTGATTTGCCCAAGGGTCTGTGCTGAGGCCAGAGAGTGACACGGCAGCAGCGAGGTCTGCCTCTGCAGCTTGAGTTGTGGGGGAGTTCTCTGTCGGTGAATTGCCTTCGTGTAAACTTATCCGCCGATGCCGAACAAGCAGATCCTTTCGAGCGAATGCGGCACTGCAATGACAGACAAAGGGCTTCTCTTTAGTGTCTTCAATTGATCAAATAAGGCACTATTAGCTTCGATTGTACACATTACAGCACCATATTAAATGCAATCCAAAGCAATCCAAAGTCACTTACGAGTACGAACATGGCGCTCCAGATGTTCAGTCCGCTTGAACGTCCTCCCACAATGGGGACACTCACGTACCACTCTGCCCCCGCCCCCGGTGAAGCCCCTGTCTACCCCTTCTGTCCCAGCAAATGTCCTTCTTCGTTTATGGCTTTGGCCATCCGAGTGTCCGTTTGGCTGGCTCTGGGGATAAGCATCGAACGCACTGTGGGGCAGCATTCTTGTGTGTCGATATTGAGAGGTTTGGGGAATGAAGGGGGGTTGGGGGCGTTGGGGTCATAATGAATGGAGCAGTGCCCTACATATGAGACATTTACCTAACCCCATGACTCGTGATGCCCTTCATACTTTCCTCTAAGAGATTTAGGTCCAGTTTGTTATCAGTCGCGACCCCAACCTCCACTACAAGTCCCCACAGAGCCCGGAAGTCTGATGCCGTTGATAGGCTGCTCACTGGGGTAGATCTAGGGAATTTGGGGTCACTCCAAGACGTAATGGTGACCCCGTTAGTCTAGGGTGAAATAGAGACCTGGTGATTGGGCTCCAGGGCATCAGCAATGAAGCCCAGCCGACTGCATGATTAACGCTGCATTATCACAAACAAAACTCGAATATGGCTTCGTTAACCAGGTTTCCAGGGGTGGCATTGATCACTGGCGCGGGTGGCACAGGTGAGATAGAGCACCTTGATAGATAGTAATTACTTCCCATGTCTGTTGTGCTTGCAAAACTAACGGATGCGTCTGAGCAGGCATTGGAGCTGCTGTTGCGAAGGCATTTGCTACATCCGGATGCTCCCGTTTTGCCATTACCGATATCAATGAAACAACACTCGCCAAGACTCGTCGAGCCATATCAGAAATCAACCCCCAAGCGAAAATATGCTCAGCAGAAGGCGATATATCTGACCCCAGTTTTGTCGAGTCCTTTCTACAGAAAGCGGCGCAGACTTTCCGGCGCGTTGATTATTCGGTCCATTGCGCTGGAATTTTAGGAACGGCCCAGAGATCACACGAAACGGCAGTGAAGGACTTTGACCGAATCAATAATATCAATTACAAAGGCACCTGGCTGGTGTCACGCGCTGCGATCTCCCAGATGCTACAGCAAGACCCATTGGCCGAGCATCCAAAGCAGAGAGGAGCGATTGTGAATGTCGCAAGCCAACTAGGAATCGTAGCCAGGCCAGGAGCAGGTAAATCTCCCCCTTGTTCTGTGTGTCGAAGAAGTTCACAGACTAATGATTATGTCTCGACAGCTCCTTATTGCGCTTCGAAAGCCGCCATAATCAACATGACAAAGTCTGACGCGATCGATTATTCTAGTGACGACATTCGGGTAAATTGCGTGTGTCCAGGAGTCATTGCGACTCCGATGACAACTGGTAGCAGAGAAGTGGAAGAGCGGTTGAGGCCTGCAGTCGAGATCGCCCCAATGAAGAGAATGGGTACGCCAGAAGAAGTGGCAGATGCTGTGTTGTTTCTTTGTTCCTCGCAAGCATCTTTCATCCAGGGCCACGCACTGGTTGTCGATGGAGGTTTTACAATCAATTGAAAAATCACTACTCCTCATTCTGAATCTACGTTGAACTTACCTTGTGCTTTGTGAACTACTTTTGTTAGAATGTCAGACTACACCGTTCTCTCTTCTAGCAGTACGATGCTATAGTATAAAGCAATGAATAATAAATCCCACAACGAACACATGTCGAAGAATCTTCAATTAGAGGTTCAAAAAAACATTCGTCTAATCATGATTTCTTTTATCTATTTACCTTGAGACAACTAAGCGACCATCTTGATTTGCCCAACCTCTAACTGAGGCTTGATGTCTACTGCATTTCCAACCGCGAGTTCCTTCTCGCTAAGCTCACTCCATTGAACAGCTTCAGAAGTCTCGTCAGCCGAGCTGGAGCAAAGATTTCTCTCAGGGGTGGCTTTCCAATCAAAATTCTGCTCCCAGGCATGTGCAACTTTTAGTACTGCTTTTTCCTGCCACAAACCACCCACAATTTGTAGGCCGACCGGCAGCATCAAATGCTCATCGTCTGGTGCTGCAGCAAGACCAACTGGCAATGACAATGCCGGATGCCCTGTGACATTGAAAATAGCTGTGTTCGTGGTCATACCTATACTAGGCTCGAATGACCCCAATACCGAGTCTCTATCTCCATGTCGAGGAGCGACAAATGGGGTTGTTGGCATAACAATCACGTCATATTTTTTAAATGCCGATTCATATGCATCTCGTATCTGCCGGCCGATGTTGACAGTCTTTCCGTAGAGACCGGGGAAGCTTTTCATGAGATAGATGCCGTTGATGATTGTGTTTTTGGTTGACGGAAAGAGTCGGTCGAAGTTAGGGGCAGTCCAAGGGAGGCGAGCGTGTTCGAATTCGGTCAGATATAGACCACTACGACCATTAGCGTTGCCAAGGATGCCAGATGCCCCAGATATCCGCTGCTGGATCGTCCATATTGATCCTCCTTCTTTGTGCAAGGGGATGGATACTTCTTCAATCTGAGCCCCAAGTATCGAAAGCTTTTCGATGGCGTCCAGAAATCTAGCCTTCACACCAGGTTGTACGAGATCATTCTGGTAACCCTCGACTAGAACACCAACCTTGAATCCATCAAGTTTCCCATCAGTATCCTTCAGTGACTTGGAAAACTGAAAAGAGCCATGCGGTGCAGATCCCAATGACCTGTCATCTATACCATCATAGCCAGCCATGGCATCCAGACTGGCGGCCACCTCCGAGACCGACCGGGCGAGAGGGCCAGCGTGGTCGTCAATCTGGTCCCCACTGGTAATACCGGTATATGGTATGAGTCCATGGGTAGGCTTCAACCCAACAATACCACAAAGCGACGCTGGAACCCGGATGCTTCCACCCTGATCAGTACCCAGGGCGATATCCACGAGACCTCCAGCTACAAGAGCTGCCCCTCCTGAAGTACTCCCTCCAGCAGAATATCCCGTTTTGTGTGGATTTTCGACTGTGCCTTGAGCGCTCGTGAAAGAGGCCGTTGAGTTGCAGAAATGCTCACAAGTAGCTGTGCCAACGATGTCTGCCCCAGCGTCCAGCATCCGTGTTACCACAGCCGCATCGGTGCTCGGAGTCCATGCTGGAAACGCATCACTACCGAAGAATTGAGGAACACCGGCGACCGCAATACAGTCTTTGATGCAAACTGATTTCCCTCGCAGCTCTGACGCCGTCGACTGGATTCCCTTTATTAGAAATCGGTGAGCCCATGCGTGGCCAAATGCTTGTTCTTTTTCGGAAGGGCGATTTAGGTCGAGCCGAGGATATCGATCGAAGTCGGGAGAGGGCTGGTAGTCTGGGAGTTGCAAAACATGCTCAGCGCAGTCGTGAACCGCGGCTAGAAGAGTCTGGTAGTCTCGGGACTCTCCTTCTTTGACTGTCACGCCAAGCGGTTCAAGTATCCTCTCGACATCCCCCTCGCGGATGGGGTTATCTCTATTGGCATTTGTTAGACGTGTGATAAAAAAATGGCGAATTAAATCTCCAAATCCCTCAAGCTTACGTGGATATCTCTTTGAAAAAGACAGACATTGTGACTTGTCCAGTACTCCCACACTGTTTGGCGCGCGTCGTTCTTTGGGGTGGAATCTGATAAGGGCTCTTTTCTTAAGCCAGTATCGCTAAATCCAAGGCTTCAGATAAAGATTCTATCTGGTCTATCAACGGTAGTACCAGAAAATATTGCTTACAAATTGGTCGGATGAGCTATTAACTTGGGGTTATTGTGCCACTGGTTGATGTCACATTGGGGTCAAATCGGGGTCTTGGGGTAGACCCATTTGCCAACAACCCTTGGACCCTGTTCAGTTACGACATCAAATTGCAATTCTAAATGTCCCCCAGTGCTTTGATTGGCATAGATTGGCCTAGAGTCAGCTCCTAATTACGGTTTTCTATGGGGATTTCAAAGAGGGCTTGGTCTCCGTATTTCCGAGTAATGTAATGTAATCTCATATCATAATTTGTGACTTCTCTACGAAGCTAACGACCAATCGGCCTTGGAAAGATACATCCTCGTATTTTTCGATAATCGAAGGTATATCCTCGTAAGGAATCACGGTTAGCCGCGAGCTTACCCGTGCCGATTCGACCACTTTCAACATTCGTTCAGTAGCCTCCTTACTCGCCACATAGCTTCCCTTGATAGACAGTTCTTTGAATACAATCAAGTCAGCATCAAACTGCCATGGCTGAGGAGGGAGACCCAGTAGTCCCAAGGTTCCCCCAGTTCTCAGAAGCTTGAGTGCCCATCGGTTTGCAGCAACAGAGTCGGTGCATACTACTGCTGCTGCAACCCCTTCCCCATTTGTCAAGTCGTAAATAGCCTTCGCGGCGTCATCGGGGACTGATGAGTCGACCACAAGATCAGGCTGCAGATCAGGGTTTCCGACCTGCCTGGCCAGTTCACAACCGGCAGGTCGATTATCCACAGCGATTGTGCGGAAGCCCAACGCCTTTGCAAACTGAATACCCAGATGACCCAAACCCCCAATGCCAATTATGGCAACGACGTCTCCGGGCTTGAGTCCCTGCGTCGTCCTCTCTATTGATCCCCAGACGGTTGCGCCGGCGCACATGAGCGGCGCGGCTTGCTCAAAGGAAACAGAGTCAGGTAACTTAACCACAGTGGCCGGGTCTGCCACAATGTAGTCCGCAAACACGCCGTCGTGCTGGAAGCCCGCCGTTTCCCGCACCTCGCAGAAACGAGGGTCCAGGCGCTTCAACGTACGAAGCGTCAGCTTGCATCCCGCGCAATCCCCACAGGCATGCTTGAAGTTGAGCGCGCCAACCCGATCTCCGACCTTTAGATGTCCATTGTAGGTCGGACCCAACTCCGCTATCACTCCGGCCGGCTCGTGTGATGGGACGAGTCCTAGAGGGGAATTGAACTGTCCCTGCCAGGCTTGATGGTCTGAGTGACAGAAGCCTGCTGCGTGTATTCGTACCAGGACGTCCGATGCTTCGAGTACCGGCCGCGGTCGTTCGCCGAGGGCGTATGGCTCATTATACTATCCTCAACTCAATATCATGAACATGACGTAGAGCGGCGTGGTTCACAAACCTGGGATATGTAGGCAACCCTCATTGATGAAGAAGGCTTTTGAGTCATGTTGAATGCTAGAGCTATTTTCGAAAAATGCTATCGGAGTTGTAGTGATAGTTCTATCATGGGCAATGCACGGGAGTGATGGTTATTGACAAGATCAAGATTCAGCTTTCTCGCACTGGTGATACCGATTTCGCCACAGCTACTGTACCTAGACAAGCATGAAAGGTTCACTCAGTTGGAGTCTCTGGGGCCATTTCGGGAAAAGATCGACATCGTGTGCTCCAATATTGGAGTGGGAGTTACGCGCCACTTGACAGTCGCCTGCATGTCAATGCAACATTCTTATCTGGGGAAGTCCCTCTTGCCCCTCCTAAAGATATCAAGTGCTCAATCTTGCTGAACTCGAGGAAACAGTGACCCCAGGCTCAACCTACAATCAGGCGATGATCAACAACCTCGTGGGGTAACAGGGGTAAATGGCTGACGACGACCCCAAATGGGGTCAATGTGACTGGCACGCTAAGAAAGCGGTCCCTTGTGGCCATGACTAGAATCAATTCTAGAACAGGGCGAGAGTGTTGTTTTATTTCATTCCATACCCCGCCATTGCGTCTGCTGCACTTTCGTCAAATCGACGCCCCTCCAAGACTGATATACTTCCAACCAAACTCAATCGAGTCCAACCTAGAACATACACCATGGGCAAGAAGCGCGTTCTCGTAAGCTACGGAGTGGACGTCGATGCCGTCTCGGGCTGGCTTGGTTCATATGGAGGCGAGGATTCCTCAAACGACATCAGTCGAGGTGAGTAGCAATCCCCCGTATTGCTTCTTGGCCACAAGCAAGCGCATATTCCATTCTCCCAATTCAAGACACTAATCATTATCGTTGAAGGGTATTTCGCTGGAACGATTGGAACGCGAAGAGTGCTGAAGTTCTTGGCAAAATATAATATCAAGGCGACTTGGTTTATCCCGGGCCATTCTTTGGAGACGTTCCCGGAGGACATGGCAGCTGTCCGCGATGCCGGTCACGAAATCGGTATGTGCCTGCATAATCCGACAATAAATTGAGAACGCTCATTGAGAACGCCGTATGAAGGACTACACGGATATTCACACGAGAACCCCACCGACATGACCATCGACCAACAGCGCGAAGTTCTGGACAAGACATACCGTATGCTCACTGAGTTTGCTGGGAAACCACCTCGTGGGAGCGTAGCCCCTTGGTAAGACGGAGATCCTTGCAGCAAGCAAATCAGTTGCATGAGGAGGGCATTCTAACCTTTGTATAGGTGGGAAACGTCGAAGGAGGGCGCACAGCTTTTATTGGACTACGGTATCGAATACGACCACAGCATGAGCCACACCGATTGCGAGGCCTACTATCTTCGAACCGGGGATACTTGGACAAACATTGACTATAAGAAGAAGCCCGAAGATTGGATGAAACCTTTGGTCAAGGGGCAAGACACGGGTCTAGTTGAGATCCCTGCTAATTGGTACGTTTCTCAAGAGCTGCATCGCCATGCTGTACTGACCGAATAACAGGTATTTGGATGATCTACCTCCCATGATGTTCATCAAGAATGCACCAAATAGCCACGGATTCGTGAACGCACGCGATGTCGAAGACATATGGAGAGACCACTTTGACTACTTCTATCGTGAATATGGTACAGTGTTTCCAATACTTGAAGTCTTTGTTCTATGCTAACAAATATGGTAGATGAGTTCATTTTCCCCATGACCATTCATCCTGTAAGAATTGGCCCATTCAGGATCCAAATTACCCCGTCATATGCTAACGAGCTACTGATAGGATGTTTCCGGGAGACCTCACGCCATATTGATGCACGAAAGATTAATCGAGCATATGAAGAAGCATGAAGGCGTTGAGTTTGTTACAATGGCAGAGATCTGTGATGAGTTCAAGAAGAAGAATCCCGCACCAGCCGGCGCTGTACTTCCTGCACCACCAGGTGCTATGTTATAGACTATAATCACGTTAAATAAACCTATGTCAAGACCATTCGTATTCTAGCAGTTTCACATGTGTGATTTCGGGTCATGCAAACAGATGAAGACCACGAGCATTCGGTGGCCAACGATGGAGGCTACCCAGAACCAATACACTATCGCTGCTACAAAACCATATCTTCCTCAAATGTAATCAAATTAGCACACGCTTCAATAAACTCATCCAACTCTCATAATCTTATCAGTAAAAGCGCATGATGAGTACAGCTCTATCCTCGCAAGACATCTAGGATTTCTACACAACCAGCCAATCACATCAACCACACCAATCTGCCATCATAAACTAAATGACCGTTATCAGGACCCTACGTCTTGAATGTGGGCTTGCGTGGAGTTTACCCCAGGGCCAGGCTGACACTAGACCCCAAGTCTATCACAAGTGGATGATGATCAACCCCAACTCACGCTCCACACTGACCCCAAACCCATCTTTATCTTACCCCATGATTTCTCTGCATCTCTTGGTTTGATTTGAATCATGACACTTTCCATTCGTACAGGGGGCTTCAGACACGTTATCAAACGCCCCAGAGTCTCGAAAAAGGTTTAGGCCAACACGGGGTAAAGCTGGTTGTTATCTTTTATGGGGTTAATTGACAGCCTGTTCATCAACCGGCTGAGAATCTCTCCCAGCCAAACTCTTCATCCACTGGATATATATTCATAAGAGGATATCACCCACCATCCAGTGTCTTAACACAACAACGACAACACAAGAACACCACAACAACATCATCATTCAGTCAAGCATTCGACCATGACAAAATCAGAGAAAGCTGACACAATCACGCCGGCACCTGCCCGGAGCAGTGATAGCATTGACAACGGCAAAGTGGACCAAGATGACGCTTTCGAAGTTTTCAAGCGAAGCGAGGGTCAAGTTGACTTCAGAACGGTGACCTGGGTTCATGCTTCAGTCATCTTTCTCAAAGGCAAGTACACCACAGTCCTCTCATTATCAGGTCACGGTACTAACAAGTCAACAGTCATCTTCGCCACTGGTGTGCTGACTATTCCATCTGCCATGTACGTCTTGGGCGCCCTTCCAGGTGCTATCAACGTCCTGGGCTGGCAGTTCCTGAATACATATTGCGCCATCGTTCAGGGCAACTTCCGTAACAACCATGCTGGCTGCCATTCGATTGCAGACATGGCTCAGGTTGTTGGAGGCAATTGGCTCAAAGAGGTTGTCGGTGTCTTATTCCTCGTTACATATGCCATTGTCGGTGCCTCTGGGGTTTTCGGCACTTCCGTCGCGCTGAACGCCCTCTCCAGCCACGCCATCTGCACCAACTATTTCATGGCGGTTGCCACAATCTCGGTCTTCATACTTGCCAGCGCACGCAAGTTTGAGAAGATTGCCTGGCTGACTTGGATTGGATTCTTCTCCGTCTACATTGCAGTCTTCATCGTTGTGTAAGTTACCTTCCTTCATACGACATGTTCAAAAGGCTGACTCTTCTAGTGTCGGTGTGACGACCCGTGACCGACCCGCGACAGCTCCTCAAACAGGAGATTTCGACCTAGGCTACCATGTCATCGGTAACCCGACATTTGTGACTGGAATCACCTCTGTGGCCACCATCTTCTGCTCTGGTGCCGGTACTTCCGCCTTCCTGCCCGTCATCTCCGAAATGCGCAAGCCCCGAGACTACAACAAGGCCGTTTACCTGTGCATGTCCATTGTCACCGCCTCCTACCTCACCTTCTCTCTTGTGGTGTACCGTTGGTGTGGTCAGTGGGTTGCCTCCCCGTCTCTCGGAAGCGCTGGAGATACAATCAAGAAGGTGGCTTACGGCATCGGCCTGATGGGACTTCTTGTCAGCGCCTGTCTTTACGTCCACGTCGCTGCCAAGTATCTCTTCGTCCGCATTCTTCGCAACTCGGAGCATCTGCAGAAGAACAGCTTGGTGCATTGGTCCGTGTGGCTCGGCTGCACGCTGGGCATGTCCATCGTCTCTTTCCTCCTGGCATCCGGTGTCCCGATCTTCAACTACCTCCTAGCACTCGCCGGCAGCCTGACCTTTGCCCCTCTGGCTCTTGGACTCCCCGGCTATCTCTGGATCTTCGACCACCAACACTATCGCAAGGGCAACTGGTGGCAGGTCACCGTCTACTACCTAAACTGGCTTATGATCCTGCTTGCCGTGTTTTTGACCATCGGTGGCACTTACGGTGTTGTTCAGAACATCATCGATGCCTATGCGAGCGGGCAGATCGACCGTGCATTCTCATGCGCTGATAACAGTGGCTCTTCCTAGAGACCTTTCGCTCGGATTTTCCTCCTGTCAATTCACAAGCTATATAGTTGAACATTTATCCTTAGAATTCAATTAGTTGATGTTGAGGTTGAGAGATACAGGCCGATGTGCCTTGTGATTGTATGAACATAGTTTCGAGCTATTGAAATTCCATGGGTTAGCCGATGCTAACACAGTTGCTCACTTCCCTCTTGCAATCTCTTCCTATTCCATAATTTCTAAGCTACAACGCTGTTGCTCGGTCAGAATGAGACCAGCAGGCTCTAACCCTTGTGCTCACTTCGCTTCGCATTCATGTCAGCGATCTTCACTCACCCCAGCCCTCCAGGCAGCAGCCAGTGATCAGGCCTCGTGAGTGGTCAATTGCCGAATTCACGAAAGTAAGCACGATGTTCACGATCTTGCGACATGTAATTGAGGGTTCCTGTGAATATGTCCTAGACTAAGGAAATTGAACAATGACCCTTGCAAGGAGCAACAGTGTGAATTGAATCAATTACATATTTATATAAGTCGCTGTGAACACTCGGTATTTACACTCTAAATCAAATCACCCCGTCAAAGACCTTTACAGATCACCTTCACGACACAAGAACTCTCCTGTCTCAATATGGAAGCCGATCCGCTCGCAGGAGTCGACCAGGTCCCATGGTTCGACGTAGATCATGCTTACGGCGAGGCCACTGACCTACCGAAGAATCTACGCCGTCTTCAATCACCCGACAAAGACACCCGCCAGGGAGCCCTCTACACTCTGTATGGGAGTATTTGCCACCAGGGCAGCCGGTATACATCCACTCCTCTTGCCGTCCCATTTCTATACAGGCTCATCGAACGCCCAGACACGCCAGAGCGAGGAGAACTGCTGCTGTTCTTGGCGTTCATTGCCACTGGGCTCAACTCCGATGAGCTTCCCCTAGGAACGGACGTCGCCCTCCAGCGCAAGCGCGTGGCTGAGCTTCGAGCAGATCCCAACCGAGCTAAGATCATCAAGGATGGCCTTGATGAGTTTCTCGGTGATACAATCTCGGACGAAGACAAGGAGTATGCGTTCAAGGGACAAAACAATGAGTATCTTAGGTCGTATATCAAATCTCTGCGCGCTTCGGGAGTGCCGGAGGATGAAGCGGATTGGTGGTCCCCGGAAGTCAGGTCCTACAATGTGGTTCAGGATGGTCTTGACACTGCCTACCGCTGCCTAAAAGACGAGTCTGCCGAGGTGCGGACTTCTGCCGCGTATCTGCTGGCCTGGTTCCCAGACAGGATGAGTGATAGCGAGCAACACTTGATGGAGATGCTCGACTCCGAACAAACTCCTGTAGCCCTAGCGACGGCGATCATCTCCTTGGCTACTCTGCAGGCGATGAAGGAGGATTTCTCCGAGACTCGCATCGTCCATCGTCTGAGAGATATTCAATCTCGGAGCAGCTCTTGTCTTGTGACTTGGGCGAGCAGCTTCTCGCTCGTAAAACTTCGAGTCAATACGGAGAAAGAGCTCACGGAGGTTATGAAGTTAATCACGGGTGATGATCAGTATCCAGAGCGATTGAAAGAAGAGTTGGAGAAGGAGAAGTTTCCCTTCCTCGATGGCCGGCCAAGCGCGCTCACGAGTCTAGCTGCGAGGGAGCTGCAGCATCTCAAGGGATCGAAACACCCGGAGATGGTCAAAATTATCGCATCCGCAACCGCGTTCAGTCGCGGAATGGACCTCGTCACGATATCAAGCGCTTTGTTGAATATTGCGTTTGATGGGGTCAGGCCAGATTCGGAGCCTGATTTTGACGATCTCAATGATCTTCAGCAAGAAGTGATGCGGGCTCTTAACAATACACTTGAGAAGCGTTTTGAATTCGGAAATTATATGATGGTGCTGGAATCGTGGAATCTCCCGAGCAGGGCAGAGGACTTTAAGGTGTTCATCAAACATCCAGATGCATTCCAAAGCAGGTTATAAGTCGCATAGGTAGAGAGTATTAGTACATATAGATATGAATAAAAGGGTCCTTTTACATGATCTGCAAAATTGATCAATATAACATCACACAAAACACCCAAATGTTCTCAGAGTGCAAAGTCAAGCTTTGATGAGGTGCGAATACCGGCGTTCATAAGAGCAATCTAAGTCTATATAATCAACAATACTATCCCTCAATCTGTGCCGTTCGAGTAGCCCAGCGGGTCATATCTTCCGGTGAGAGGAGGATGCTGAGCAGCTGATTAGTGAAAGAGTCTATCTCAGCGGGTGATGTGTCTTCCATGAGCCCCGGCAAGTTGACGCTCTGCTGAAACAGCGGGTTCTGCTCCCGCACCTGCTGCACCCACCGCCAGGCATTCGGGGCTTCCCACAGGCCTTGACGGGTGGTAAACATGAGGAAGCCGGAGCATCCAGGCCATCCGTTGGTCTTGTCATGATACACATAGAAAGTCCCGGATACCAACATCCAGGTTCGGCGCAGGCTCTCGGATAAAATCCACGCCTGCCAGACTGCGAACTCCGCCCTACCGCTGCCGCCACCAATATCATTAGATCTCAGCTGACCCAATGTTTCATAAAGGCGTGGTGCCTCCGTGAGAGCTGCGTCCCTCATCTCCTGGCACCACTGATCTAGGGTGCTGAATGCGGCCTCGCCGAGAGCACGCTGCCGAGGAGATCCATCAACCAGGCGAATCAAAGTGTATATCAGCAACGCCTGGGTCCGAGACAAGTGACTCATGAGGTCCAGCCTTTCAAATCCCTCGAGCATGAGCGACTGCTGTTGGTGGAGACTTGCGGCGCGATTTTCAATTATTCGGAGCACCATGTCTTCCGTCTCCTCGGTCTTGGCCAGGTACGCGGTAAGCGCCGTGTAAGCATCCTCTAAACATGAAGGTAACTCAGACCGATAGAGGTGTTTGTGAATAAAGATATTGTGGCCCCGCTTAGCCCAGTCTTTCAGCCAGCTACGCATGGCTTTCCTAGACCCCCTGAATATGAAGGTCGAGTCGGCGGGAGAAGGTATGAATGTGGACTCGATATTCCACGAGTCTTGTGCAAGAAACCATGACAGGTCGGGGTCAGCATGCGGAGGATGTATTCCTGATGCCAGAAGCTGGCTTTGAAGGCGGTGCTGAAGCATACTGAGCGCTGGTTGAAACTGGGATATTGAGACTTCTGCGGGCACCGCCAACGCCAGAGGGCCGTTTGGGATAATCCGTTGTTGCCCTACACCGACAGAGTTCGACGCATAGGGCTGACCCGGGATCGTCGCCTGTGGACGCGGTGCCAAGGAGACAGGTCTGTCACTCCGCCGAGATCTTGGGAAATACTGGCATTCAACTCCCCTCTCACCACAGCGCCCGCACCGTGGGAGCCGTCTATCACACGCCCGCTTGGCCCTTGTACACGCTCTGCACGCGTTCTGGCGCGGTTTGGAGGCACGATCTGCCATATTCCCGCCGGGCTCGTCTGGAATATTGACTGAAACGCGTGAGTGAGATTCGTGCATTCACCAGTGTCGTCACAATCCCGGTCGGTGGACTAGCGGCGGGAATCTGACCAATGAGGATTTGCGGGATTCGGAATCACGGCTCGTTCTCACGCTAATCCGCGCTCAATGGACAGTTGGAGAGACGATAGATGTGATTCTGAGCTGGCATGTTGACACGGAGGTTTACTCTAGATCCAGGGGTATAAATAAGACTTCTGCTATCCAAGATTCAACAGCTATGGCACCCCTTACGTTCTCATTCTTCATTTCAAACTACCACTTACGGACTTACATTGAAGCTGCCTGACTGAAAACATGAGTTCCACTCGAGTAACACCCCTGCCCATCACCCACAAGCAGCCCTATGCTGCCGTCTCTACAGATCGCCCTGAGCTCTCGCAAGCTGGCAAGACTGTCCTCGTCACGGGAGGTGGCTCCGGCATCGGGAGTGCAATCGCAAAGAGCTTCGCCCAGGCCGGCGCCTCGACCATCGTCCTTGTCGGCCGTCGTGAAGAGGTCTTGCAACTTACCGCGCAAACACTGAAAGAAACATCCGCAAAATCAAACCCCCAACTTCAGGTTCATATATACACAGTAGACGTCACTGACTCCGAAAGCGTCGCTAAGCTCTGGGGCAAGCTCGCTGAGAACACCATCGTGGTCGATGTTCTCGTCTTGAATGCTGGGCGGCAGGGTGTGGTCAAGACCGTGCTTGAGCTTGGTTCCAAGCACGTGTTTGAATCTTTCAAGGTCAATGTGTTTGGGCACATGGAATTCATCGAGCATTTATACAAGCAGGATAGAAGCAACTCTTCTAGCCCAGCGGTGAGAAATCATTTTCTACCACAATGTCAAGGCAGGGACTAACGCCATCCGCATAGGTCGTTATCAATGTGTCGACCGCCGCCGCATGGGATCTGAAATCTGGTGGTCCAGTGCCTGTCTATTCCCTGACCAAGAACGCAGGCACCATGCTACTGCAGCAAATTGCCCAAGACGTGCCCCGGGAGAAGATGCGCATCGTCAGCTTCCATCCAGGCCTTGTCAGGACAGAGACAACAAAGGGGCTTTTTCCCGACAAAGGCGATGGGGAGGCCCCCTGGTACTCATGTAAGTTGAATTATCTATTACCTGTGCGTTTCGAGGATGTGGCAGCTGATGCAGGTTTCTCTTCAGCTGAACTCCCTGGCAACTTTGCTGTTTGGCTTGCATCCCCTGAGGCCGCTTTTCTCCACGGTCGCTACGTTGAGGCTTCTTGGGATGTGGAGGAACTCAAGTCTGGTCCGATTAGAGAGCAGATTAAGAATGACCCATATCTGCTCAAGGTTGGTATTCTAGGGTGCCACCCTTAACCAAAGCTTTCCGCACAGTATAAATGGTCGGTGTTCCAGCTCGAGATATCGCAGGGCCAAACTCAAATCTGCCAGCGACGCATGACATGGCGGATTACTATAGATCGGGAAAAGGCTAGCATGTCGTGATATTCAATGGCCTCAATGGCTCCAGGTCACATCCTTGTCGAGATAAACGCCATCTGGCCATCTGGTGGCTACCTCTCTCGACTAGCCATGATAGGTGACGGTAGATGGAATGGATTTTGACGCTCTCACGGACGAGCATGCGCTTCGGATGGGAGACAAATTTTGGAAATTTGGCAACGCGATCCCTGCGGTTGCGAGATAATCAGCTTGGACAGCCGACTAAAGAGACACTTATTGTCTGACTGAAAAACAAATACTTCTCCGAAAGGAGCCACCTTAAATATATTTTACGCGTCTTGGAAAGAGGTGTTTGCAAAGTTAAAAACGATGAAGGAGACGCTGAAACGAGGGTTGTCGACCCTGCACGTGGCAGATTATGGCACGTGCGTTACCAAACTCCAAGACATCACAACAAACGCGTGTATGAACTCGTTCTCATAATGTATTCCGTCTCCCATTCATCTAATAATCAAATAAGACGCGTCATTGGGGTTTCTCTTGTACTTTTAGTATACGAGTTGAGTTCAATCAGGAATCGATAGTTGTTAGTGACGTTCCTCTAATAGTGCACTTTTAGGGCTGTGCTATCATCATAAAAAATAAGTAGTTGTGTGGATGGTTTAAACAATAAGTGCGAGAATTTGCTCCCCAGATCTTGACCGTCCCATGAAAATTAAATTCTATCATGTCTACATACAAAATTGTATAAATTTGTCTGCCTTGATTAATTTTTCTGTCTCATTTGTGGCTAACTCGATCATCAAGGGACAACACATAAAACATCCGGGTCTAAGTATAGGGTAGGCGGATCCCAGTTGGTGGGGAAAGCTCTGTTGTGCAATTTCTGTTGCAATCCGGCTCTGAAAAACAACATATCAAACACACGAGTCTTTTGGGGAGGGAAATTTCTAGAAAATGCACAGCAGCGCGTATATTCCCGTGACAATCAATCAAGGAGATCGGCTGGTGATTTATTATTAATTATGATGCAATGCAAGGTGCAATCCCGCGCTATTCGAACTTGCGGAAATAGGACGTGCGGGTGCGGACGGGAATAACGGAGTGTCGCAATTGTCAGCAGCATCAACACTTCCCGGAGTTTCGGAGTCACGGAGTTGGGTGAGTTGGATGTGTTGATTGAATTCTTCTATATATGTTTGATGAATTACACGGAATTTCAAAATCCATCCATCCAAACAAATACAATCATCAATTCTCACAGACAGAATCTACTACCCAATTCTCATCATCAATTCATCATCAGTTACAATGGCCAAGACCGTTCTGATCACCGGAGCCTCGGGCTTCATCGCTACCCACACCATCGATGCCTTCCTCCGCAAGGGCTACAACGTCCGTGGAACCGTCCGCTCTGAAAAGTCCGGATCCGACGTGCTCAAGACCCACTCCAAATATCCCGGACAGTTGTCTCTGGCTATTGTGCCGGACATTGCAGCCCCGAATGCGTTTGATGAAGCCGTCAAAGGCGTAGACGGAGTGAGTGACACGGCCTATCTTGCTGGCAAACCGACAAATACTAACGGAGACTGCAGATCATCCACCAAGCATCGCCATTCATCTTGAATGCCACTGATTTCGAGAAGGAGCTTTTCCAGCCTGCTATCAAGGGCACAACCACGGTTCTCGAATCGGCACAGAAATACAACCCAGATATCAGCAGAGTAGTTATTACCTCGTCGTTTGCCTCGGTGGTTGATGTCAATCAGGGCCTACGACCCGGATACACCTATACTGAATCTGACTGGAACCCGGTCACTACCGAGACGGCTGGAGCCAACGGTGTCGTGGCGTATCTGGCCTCCAAGACCTTTGCTGAGCGCGCTGCTTGGGACTACGTCAAAGACAAACAGGTATGTGTGCAGGCTTGGGAAATAAATCACCAATATTATGATTCAATTGATAGCGGCTAATCATCTGAGCAGCCAAAATTTGAGCTCACTACGCTGCTGCCACCTATGGTCTACGGTCCCCTTGATCACCATGTCGACGATATGGCCAAGCTGAATACTTCCTCTGCTGATATCTACCGACTCTTCAATGGCTCTGAGAAGCAGGTGCCCGATACTTCTTTCTGGGCTTTTGCTGATGTCCGCGATCGTAAGAACCCCTATGCATTTTGTCCCTTTTCAAGTATCTGTCGACTAATATTTTTCACAGTCGCCGAAGCTCACGTCCAGGCTTTTGAGAAGCCCGAGGCTGCAGGCCAGAGATATCTCATTGCCAACTCATCATACAGCTATCAGAAGATTGTTGATATTATCCGGGACAAGTTTCCCGAACTGCAGGAGAAGACTCCCAAGGGTGATGCCGGCTCTCAGCTGCCACCTGTCTACCAGCTAGATACCTCCAAGGCCATCAGGGAGCTCGGTATGGTATTTAGACCGTTGGAGGAGACAATCGTGGACACTGTAACAAGCTTAATCGCGATCCAGAAGTCGATCTCATAGGGAAGATGACTGCGGTCGAAAAATGACAGTTTTGGTTTTGCTGCAGCGACTTGGGAGCTAAGCTTTATATAGAATGTCGGGCTACTTTTTTATTAAATAGAACAATCTCATTTGTATAGTCATTTGCTGGAAACACCTGAGAGCATGCTCAGTCGTGACGCTTCTCCGAGGCCACCCGGAGAAATCTCTGGAAAGAAGTGGGCTAAATTAAACGTTTGTGATGATGGTTCTTGACATTGCTTGAGCATTTAATACGTGTACAGGTAGCCGAGGAGATGCAGAAGTATTGGTCTAACTATTCTGTGCATATAGACCCATGAAGTTTCATATAGACCCATGAAGTTTAATATCGACCCCATTTAATAAGATAAATATAAATGGAATTAACACGCCTCGTGGATATGGCCTAAAACTAATACTCAACTCAGAGATGAGATTATACATGAAGATCTATATGCGCTTAAAAGCTGTAACAATGAGAGTCATGCGACGTTTGGGTGACCATAGGCCTCGATCTATACTAACGCTGAAGGAGCCCTCAGTAACCACGGGCTTTGATCTATAAAAGCGCTATACATAATGGACCATAGTAATTACTACGGTTCCTATAATGATCCTGCGGTAGGGGTGACGAGCTACGAACACCAACGCGTGTCGTTGGCTACATGTAACCAAGGATCTCCACTTCTCTGCGTCTGCAAGTGCGAATCCGCTGCCGCTTGGCAGTAAAGCTCGAGTTCATCTAATTAACGTTAGAGACATCCTGAAGTAGAGTTGCCACTCTTGCGTACGTACCAACAGTCATTGGAAGCTTGATATGCCCCCCCTTGTTCAAAGAAGCGAGGACCTGTTTCACCCACACGCGAGAAGTCCACCTCGCTTCTCTAGTTGGGACACGATTCGGGTCCATGACGTCAACGGACTTTGCGCATGTTTCTATAGCATCCGTTGATTTCAAAGTAGAGATTTGGAGGCAGGCGACGATTCTTCCGAGTCGTCGAGGATCTGCGACGTTCTGTATTTCTAGATTGAGATCTAAGGGCTGGCCGTCAACACGGGCAGCATGAAGTAATTGACCCCGTGGTAGTTGATCACTCGCCAGAAAGAGCCCCCAATGCTAAGAAAGAACGTATGAATATAATTCTTCGCGGAAGCAAAGTAGTAGACAGAAGGATCTTACATAATTGTTCTGGCCGCCAGCGTCGCTGAGATATTGCATGGTGATGTAGAGACCATGAGGGGTGGTGATCGCATCAGAAGGCTTCTCAGTAGTCAAGTAGGCCATAGTGTCTGATAATTGAACTCGAATTATTGACAATGAGAGAATCAGGGGATAATATGCTGTGAGTAAGAGAACAAGAGTAAGAAATCAGTTGAACCCGGCAGCGCAGGATGATAAACCGGATGATGGACACCTTGGTAGGTAGATAATGATGTTGAAGTAAGAGATATGAGAGAATAGAGAGAAAGATAGTTAGTATGATCAAGACATTGTAAATATCTCAGTTGGCGGATGGTGTTCTTATAGCTAGTTTTCTGTCTATATGACATTATCATGAAGTGGCTGACCTCGACCCCCAGGTAAAACCGCATACTCCAGAGCCCGGTCCTGGCAGAGTATCAGTCAGAATCACGGTTAAAGCGATGGCAGAGGCACAAAAATGATTGGACAAAAACTTGTCGATTAGTAGGGCCGCATATGCCTGACCTGCAGATAGTGGAAGCCAACGATCCAGCAAGCGTCACTCCGCCCCCATGCCGCCAATCGGCTGCGACCAGCCATAGCGGATGAAGCGTCAACAAGGCGCGTATCATCGAGCATGCGGGAGCGAGTTGCATAGAACTCCACACGGTGATGGCTGTGCTGGATTTCAAGCAGGGAAGACCCGGGCAGCCGCCGGATGTAGATTAAGGGATTAGCGCCCAAGCCATGATTGACAACAATTGATTTGTGAGGGAGGGGCTAGTAGTTTCAGGTATGATAATTTAGGTAGACAGCACCAACAAGTCTGATTTAGATGCACCAATTTAGGAATAGACCTGTAGGCGCCGACAGGAGTGCATGATGAGTGACAAGATGGTGGGCGGTTAATGAAACCAATTGGAGCATCGCCCCACCGCAGACTCGTGAGCTGCCGCGCGCTTGTTGCTACATACAAACGGAACCGCCAGAGTCAGCCATGTTCCGAAGAGTGAGCTGCTGTAATATTGGAGGTAGGGTAACTCAGGCACACACGCGCCCCTTTGTCCTTATTTATGTCCACACTGCTCAGCCCATCTCAGGTTGTGCTCATCTGTGGCACTTAAACATCTAACTCTTCCTCTTTATTATGGTCGATATCTTCAGCCCATTTAACATTTCTAATGAATTCTCCGCAGGCAGAAGTGAGTAAGGGCGTGAAATGGTGGAGGCCCAGAAACTCTCGCACCCTTCAGGAGCCTTGCTCATTGGATTTATTAAGAAGCTTGAAACCCGCGACTTGTGGCTAGTTTTCTCGTCGAACAGCCAGAGCAGCATCGGAAACCGGCCTCAGAGCGAGCGTTTCAATGGCAGTATGTAGTTCAATATTGTAAAAACTTGCCTCGTTCGCCCTGTTCTCCATAAAACAGCTAATAGACGAGCTTTCAGTTACCGGTGGACAGAATCCTCCTGCACCCGGATCTGTGTCTCGACTTGCCATTCGGACATGAGATGGTAATAGGTGCTGCGTGACCGACAGGCCAGGCTCTCTTCTAGACCCTCTCCTGGTCGTGCCTATTTTAAAAGTGCCCCATGGCTGGGTTACAACTGATCAGGTACGTTTCATCATTTAAATTTCCCAGATACACTGCCAGGCTTACTGACATTCCTGCCAACCGCAAGCACCAAGTCTTAGAAATTCTTGGAGCTTTTTTTGGAGTTCACTATAGAGATTGATGGCTTAGCTATATTAACACTCTTGCGCATGTTCCTGTGCTTGATGACCACTGGCTTGTGCGGCAATCTGAGGTGCAATTATTCGAAACAGGCTTCTTCAAATTAAATCGCCTCCAACTTTCAATGATCGAGGTAAGCTGTAGCCTCTAGTATCCAAGATTTTAACTATTCAGCTGACTCTTCAATCCCTGAGCAGTTCGAACTCAAAGCGTTTAATGTTGGCATCGACACGCAGCGGTTTCAACCCTTTACTAGGTGACCATTCTCGTTCCGGGGCCCCTACCGTAGATGCTCGCTTCATCAGTACATATGCCAGTTTTTCCCGTAGCATACGCCTTCTCGACATTGCTTCTACTTTTACAATAGCCGAGCCACTGCAGGTCAGGAGATTGGGGGTCGAAGGATTTAGGCTCGTACCTCCTTATGACTCAGTTGCGCGGGGTATCCATGCACGAGTGCATTGATGCTATTTCTGACAACGACCTCGTTCATATCATCTGGGTATAGTCGAACGTTGCAAAGATTCTCGTCTGTAGGTCTGTAGCTAACCTTTTATGTGAATGAGTGGCTGTTGAGATATAGACATACGTAGTGAAAGTTTGTCCTATGGTATGATCAAACTGCTTCACAAAGGATAGTTAATTAATCTTGGACCCCAATTCAGTGGCTGGTTCCGTGACAAAGAAGCCTTCGGCCAAGTGCTATCTATCGTTTACTAGGTAATTGTTGCATGTAATTGGCTAATGTTGTCCATAAGCAGAGTTTGACTGTTCTGCCTTTGTGGTTCCTTGTTTCAGTGTTTTTAAACTCACGGATGACGCGTTCGATGCGGTACGACAACTTGAACCGCCGACTTGACAAGAGGTATAAGTAGCTGGGTTTTCTCTTCTTCCCTAAACTCTCCTTTCATTTCAAATAATCAATAATCATGATCTCTAACTAATTATCCATAAGATATACTCTGGAGGACTAAAGCACCCAGCGTTAGTGCTTTAGTCCTCCAGAATTTATCATTCTTTTGAGCGTCGACTATGGACACCATCTTAGAGAAAACGGAGCGTCATAGAAAGATCGCTAGTCTATCGTCCAAAACTCTCGCCGACAAGATCCGAGCACGAGCCGGACCTAACGTTCGCTTGGTACAAACTTTCCAAATCATCAACAGTTTCACTACAGCGGATGAGAGTATTGATCGGCAGTTTCTCAGAAGAGCCGCCGAAATCATAAAGAGTGCCAATGCAAAGGGATGGGTGCAGGCTCACCACGTTGCTAGCGAGACTGTGGCTGCACTCTGTTGCGCTAACGACCCAGTCGGCGTGGTTAATATTGAGCATATCTGTCGTGCCATGTGCTTCGTTGCTGCGGCAGATGTTGAGTCACTCCACCACCACGAGAACATTTGGGGACTAGATGCTCTAGGCTTTCGACCAAGTCGTTTTGAAACGCTGAGCCAGAATCAAAAGGACGCATTCATGCCTTTCGGCATTGGCAGACATGCGTGCCCAGCTGGCAACAGCTTTGCTGGAAAGCTGATTGCCATCCTGGTGGTAACCCTCATTAAGCAGTTGGAAACAGCCGAGACGGGCACTAAGATCCAATTCAACGACGAAGAGTTGGATGATGAGTGCAATGTGGCGGTTTCGCTGCCTACTGGGCGGTCTGCTACGAAGAACTGGGTCGTCTACCCCAATCCCGAAGCCTGAATCAGGGAGACTTTTGTCTGGGGGTTGATCGATTCTCTCAACCTTAGACAACAGGGATACCACATTGCCGAGGGGAAAGTGGTTGGCTTGGGAATGCATTTTGTTCAATCTGGCCGCCTTTGTCAGGCAAGTAAAACTATTAGATTGTTCAGTTTACTGTAGTTGATAAGAATACATGCGCATGATTTCTCAGTCGTGGTTGTTGTGCTTGACAGACCTGTTACTACTTGTTTTTCTGGGTATCTTGGCGCCGAAGTATGACTCTACTTTATACTCCCAAATTGATTTTAAAGGCCCTATTTCCTAAAACTTTTCACTCTTTACTTAGCATACCGATAAAATGCTCTGTACTGACTACATGTAGGTAGTTAGCCTAGATGTTGTCAGAATCTGAATAGCCAGAGAAGAGATCGACACAGGAACATAAGAATCCTTTGTTTGAGCTTTAGTATTGTTGGAGTTGGGGAGTGGTTAAGCAGCCAAACAAAGCAAACAGCTGTGGTTGACGTCACAAAGACACCGAGGTGTCTTGAAGTGGGTGTTCGGAGATAACTAACTATGGTATTCGTGTTACCACTTCCTGGTCGTTCTAGCCCCATGAATTAATAAGATGAAGAAGTAATCTGTTTCCTATTCCTTATGAATGGTTTGATAAAACTGCAATATATTTATTTTTCGAGATATGATGCCTGATAATAGGCGGTTATGTTGTCAGCTAAGTCGCCGAGCTCCATTCCAGATGAGTCATCAATCTTTAAAAGCCTCGGCGTCTCAAAAATTAAGAGCCCGTTGCTCCATCGTCATTGCAGTCACCAAGTAGGACTATACGCCGAACGCAGGTAACTCCTCAGCCATGACTGAGCAAATAGAGGCCGCAAGTCCCATCCGTCGAACGCGGATCACGCGGATCGCCTGCAAGGCTTGTCATGCCAGGCGGGTCAAGTGTGATGCTGCAGACGGGCTGCCGTGCATGCACTGCCGCACCCGACAGGACCCCTGCGAACTGATCGAATCACGAAGGGGCAAGTAAGTTGTTGGACACCAATAAATCATAGCACTTATAGTTCTATTTAGTGACTTGCGGCGACAGGTACACTAGAACACCATCCAAGAGACAGCAACGCCGAACCCGCGGCAGCCTTCCTAACCTGACCCCGACTGAGGAAAGCCATCTTGGCTCGAGTCAACCTGTAAATGTTACGGCACAACAGTTGGTTGACAGTGAGATCACAGAAGCCGAGAAGCCTCCCGAGCGTGAGGCGCAAGATGCTCAGATCGCGGGACGTGGTGAAGGCTCAGCCCATCTGCTGAACTCACTGAACCTGTCCTCTATCATTGACATGGTTCGCCGTGCAAAGGATGGCGATTTCGAGAATGTCCGTGCCACAACCCACGAGCTGACTCGCCTCGTTGAAAAAGTGAATCTTCAACCGAGCATCCACTTGCATCAGCAGATGTCTGTGGAAGACGCCCTCGTCCTACCCGACGGGCCGATAAGTGACAAAATGATACAGTTCTTCTTTGAGTATTTCCATCCTGCATACCCAGTCATTGATAGGTCAGCATTTATTAGCCTGTATAGGCAAGGCAAGGCGTCTACTCTGCTCCTACACAGCATCTTCATGGCTGCATTAACCTGTGGCCCCGAGAGTCTCGTGCGGCTGGCTGGGTACACCGACCGAGCCACAGCCAAAAAGGCGCACTTTCAACGCGCAAAGAGGTTGTACGAAGTCGGGCATGAAACGGATGCCACGAGCGTTGCGGCAGCACTCCATCTGCTCAGCTTCTGGTGGAGTGAGCCGCACGAACAAGAATCGTGGATCTGGGCAGGGTGCTCTGTGACTTTGGCACAGTCGCTGGGCATGCATCGCGCGTATGTGACAAATTGTATAATCCTAGCTGAGAACACACTAACCTTGCGTACCTCTTTAGCCTGGGAAGACGCAGGATGAGCAAACGATTAGTGTCAATCTGGAAGCGCATATGGTGGTCTATCTATGTAAGACTGCACCTTGTCATTTGCTGTCTCAGAATCTAACTTGGCAGATTCGCGACCGACACATCGCAGCAGCACTGGGGCGGCCGTGTCGCATCAGAGACGAGGATTGCGACGTCGAGGCTCTTACAGAGGACGACTTCTACGTAGACTTGGTTGCCGACGATGAACTGATAGCGCCCCAGAAGGCCCATCATGTGTCTTATTTCCTTGACATTGCCAAGCTGTCGGCCATACGTGAGTTGGTAGTCGCTGCGCAAATTTAGAATTCGAATTAACAGAGGATCTCTCTGGTGTAGTTGGGGATATCCTTATTGGGGAGTTCAGCCCTCGTCCGCCGGCCCTGGAAAGGTACGAACCGACATGTTCTGCCCAAAGGCTGCAGTCATGGCGTTCTGAAGCCCGCTGCGTCACGTCTGACAGTTTATCAACTGAATCAAGCGGCTTGTTCTTTTGGGCCAGCATGCTAGATGTCTCATATCAGTAGTATTCCCTCGATTCTCTACATAGTTAGCGGAGACTGACCTAGGCCTAGGAATGCTTGTATTTTACTATTCCGGCCAAAACCTACAAGAAACCAGGCAATGCCGGAATCCGAGCGAGCCAAGAGAGCCCAACGGGCGGCAGATGCAATTACGCGAACTGCTGAAGATCTTTTGTCTGTCGACTTATTACAGCACACACAGCTTCACCTGTAAGCACACGTGTCTAATCATTACCTATTTGCGGAACTACGCCACTTACTTATCCATCTCATAGTGTCCCTGGATTGTTCAGCGCCCTATCCGTCTATACACTAGCCCTCGATGGAAGAAGCAATGTCCATCGGAAGCTGGTAGAAAATAAGTCACGGCAATGCATATTGGCATTAAGTGAATTGGTCAAGGTCTGGCCAGTGGGCATGTGGCTAAAGATGGCCTTTGTAAACCTATTACGGCGACTTGTTAGCCAAAGATCTGTGGACGGTGCACGGGGGGATGAGGCCAACGAGGACATGGAGGTTCTCCATGGCGATCAGTTCCATCCCAACTCGGCTGTTCAGCCTGTACAGCCTCAAGAAGTCTTTCTGGGTAGTGGGCTTGGAACTGCCATTGATTTTGCATATGACGCCTCTTGGTTTGGGAGTTCAGAATGCATCTTTGATGCAGAAATCTTTCAGGAAGAACTCTCCTCGTTTGTTCCATAGAATAATCCGTATTCGAGAAATTATAACCTGAATATATAGTCAATGACATCATGTTAGTAATGCCTCTCAGGGTTCGCATCGTAGTACTCGCCATTGGCGGAGTCGAGGGATTCACAAGCCTTGACCTCGGCGTCTTCATAAGAGTGGGGTTGAATTGTAAACACACAATCCGCCGTCCTAAATTACGTTTTTTGACTCCAGGCTCACTTCAGGAAGCCAGGATATTTATTCGCAGCATAAGAAATTTCAAGGAATGGTTTGACGGCCCCATTCTTCCTAATAGACACATCTTGTCTCGCCATGGTATCACTGTAGGGTGTTAAGATACAAAGCTCAGCAATGTGCCCGTATTCGAATTCACTTGGATCTCAAACTCGACAATGACGCACGTGCTCAGTGGCGATAAAAATGAGGGAGGAACCTCAGGGACGGAAAGCTTCGATTTGGCCTTCAAAGTCGTATTGGACGATGATTCTGACCCTGCATCCCCGAGAAGTATGTCGAGTCCCCGGAAATGGTTCATCGTGACAACCATTTGTACAGCAATTGTTTGCGTGTAAGTAATCAAAAGTTTTAGTGCTCAAATTAGAATACCAATCGTTGACCTGTTTCACTTGAAGAACCTGCACCAGCTCAGTATATACCACAACCTACAGCCAACTCAGCCAAGAGTTCGCAGCTACCCGGCTTGTCTCTGCCACTGGACTATCCACTTTTGTCTTTGGTATCGCATTCGGGCCTTTGCTCTCTGGTCCATTGAGCGAGCTCTTCGGCCGGAAGCGAGTCTACCTTGTGGCGTGGCTCACCTTCATAATATTCACAATTTCATCTGCCGTAGCGCAGAATATGAGCACTCTCATCGCCACTCGCTTTTTCGCTGGGTTTGGCGGTAGCACATTTCTATCAGTCTCTGGCGGCACGGTTGGGGACATCTTCGCCAAAGATGAATTGCAAAAGCCCATGTCGTTGGTGTCGTTGGCACCCTTCATAGGCCCATCATTAGGTCCCTTCTTGGGCGGATTCATCAACTATCATCTGCATTGGAGGTGGACCTATTATATTATGCTGATATGGTCAGTCCTGACCTTCCTTGCAATCCTCTTCATTCCCGAAACGTTCCATTCAACTGTGTGCGAGGCCAAAGCACGCAAGCTCAGGATTGAGACGGGAGATATGAGGCACTGGGCACAATCGGAGACGACTCGCCAGTCAAGCCCGAAGACGATAGCCCTCGCTCTTTTACGGCCTTTTCAACTATTTTTCCTGGAGCCAATGTGCTTTTGCTTGAACATTTACTCGGCCATCTTGCTGGGAATCTTGTACCTTTTCTTTGGAGCAGTTCCTCAAATCTTTCGTACCAACTATGGCATGAATCTTTGGCAGAGTGGACTTTCATTCCTCGGCATAATCATCGGTATGGCATTGTCACTTCTCACTAACCCCCTTTGGATTCGTATACGGACACGGCTGGTCGCCCGACATAGGGAAGAAACAGGCAAGGACGACACAAGTGAGCCAGAGTATCAGCTACCACCGGCGATGGTGGGAGGTGTCTTGATACCAGTTGGCCTGTTTTGGTTTGCATGGACGATCCAAGGGACAATTCACTGGATTGTTCCTATATTGGGTTCTTCGTTCTTCGGCTTCGGGTTAGTCTTTTCGCCTTCCATTCATCCATTCGTAACATGCTCACTCAACGAAACTTTAGGGTCATCTTGGTATACAATGGCATTTTTACATTTCTAGTATGTTCATCTAAGATCACAGTCATTATTTCTGCCTCGCAAACTGTTTAAGGCTTTCGTTACTAACCCACAAAATAGGTAGAGGCATATAGCCAATACGCAGCATCAGCTCTCGCCGCAAATGGCTTCGCCAGGGCATTTCTTGCAGGTATGTTTTATTAAATGCGTTGACCTTGTGCTCAGAGCTGATGAAGAAGGAGCAGCTACGTTTCCGTTGATTCAGATTCCCATGTTTGACCAGCTTGGCTACTCGTGGGGCACAACTGTCCTGGCATTTTTGACTGTTGCCATTATGCCATCCCCGTGGCTATTCTTCAAATATGGCAAGTTTCTGCGCAGCAAAAGCAAGTTTGCTTCGACGCCTTGACTCTTCAGCCGGGTACTATTCACAGACATGGGGAGCACGGATTTGATAATTCCCTCCTGTTTTATCAAGAAAAGACAGGGAGAGAAGGAAAAAGTCCAAAGAGGAAACATAAGATAGAACGATATATAAGGTGCTATTGTCATGTCTCTCTTCTCAATTCCCATCTAAATTGTATCAACAAATTCCACGAGCTCTAGCTACAGAGTTTTCTTCCCCTTAATTTATACTCCGGTTAGCAGTTTGCGCGTTCCCGGTGCTGGCTACTTCTGTATATCTACCTAATGTGACAGTCTCAAGCTGAGGCAAAAAGCAGAAAGAAATATTGAAAATAGGAATAATCAAGACTTATCTTCTTTATAGGACTATATTTTAAGTGTTTTAATCATGAGATAATTGTACATCATAAGGAACATTAAAGGCTTTCTACATGACTGTGCGTTTGCACTTACTTTTCTGATCTAATCACGTTACAAAATCTATAATTCTACATAAATTAAAATCAAGTATAGTTTTAATTACAAGATTCATCTAACTTAATTATACCTATTCATTTATTCATCATGCCAATTATTTATCGTCAATGGTCCCTCAATATCGTTACTGAAGAGGATGAGAGCGGTGAGGGGCGGCAGAATCGCGATCATTCCCCCGGATTCCAATTCCGAATCAGATCCGAAGGTGATCTGGAACCTTCAATTCGATTTGGAATTACATTAAACCTACCTCACCCCCGTCATTGGTTTGCGGGCGTTGGAGTCTTCTATTCTCGACAGTTTGGCATTGCAATCGAGCTGGAGGCCCGCGAACTTCACGATACATGCGTTCTTGATGGACCCTATCAAACCAAAGAAAGGTGAGGATATCTCGTTACCTCTCCGACCCTACACCTGCCATGCAGCTGCCCAGCTTGCTTGTAATGTGTCGATTGCTGATAGAATTGGCCTATAGCATGCCACCACTGCATGAAACGGAGGATCAAGTGCGATCTTACCCTGCCGAAGTGCAAGAAATGTGCCAAGAAGGGGTTGGAATGCCCTGGATATGGTATCAGATATCGTTTCTACGATGATAATACTACTGTGCTCTCCGAGAAATCGCATCAGGCTGTATCTTCTCCTACACCGGCAAGAGACTGGAAGTGGGTGGACGATACGAGGCGGAAAAGAGCTCGAGTTCAACGGCAGAGCGTCTCCAATACTGTAGGCTCGACGTCCGAAGAGCTTGAGCACCGAAACACGGTTGTGTCTCCAGTTCTGCCTGCCTCAAAAGAAACTCTTCTAGTAGGGAACCAATATACCCATATCTCGCACATACGTCAGGATGGAGACTACTTAGATCCAAACCAGTCGGGAGGCGAACTTGTCCTTCCTGGGCCTGCTAGGCCATTATGCAATCTACCCGCCAAGATGCGCTTGTTTTTCCATCATTGTAAGTCATTTGCTGGCTTTAGGCGAACAAAGGACATGGACTAACGTATCAACTAGTTTCTACCCATGTCTCCCCGGTTATGCTGATGTATGATGACGAGGGCAATGGCTACCGGCACCAAATTCTTCCTTTGGCCACCTCGGATCCGTTGGTTGCGCGCGCAGTCTGCGTGGTGGCAGCGTTCCATCTGTCTTGGTGGATGCCGCAACTGCGCTTGCCGGCCGAGAGCTGTCGAGCGGCCATCATCAGCAGATTGACGGCATCTTCATTCGATTTGAACGACCAAACCTGGGCGACTATCATCCTGCTAATCATGGCAGACCTCGTAACCGGCCATGAGCATGCGATCGTGCTGTACAAGATGCTTGCTGCGTTCGTGGATGCCCGGACACAAGCCAAATCTCCGGGTGGATCGAGCCGGGCTTCTCAGCTGGAAAGTTTCCTTCATTACCAGTCCCAGATGTAAGAGTTGATTCCTATTCACGCTATAGCCACTCGAGTGTTCACTAAATCTGAAGTAGGCTATCGTTTTTTGCAAACCCAGTCCTGGGCGAGTCCAAAGCACTCACCGGCTATGGCCAAGTCTTGGGCGATCCTCTCGAAAGTTTTGAACGATATGCTCCCAGGCGCCGTCACGCTCTCGAGCATTATCCACCGGCATGTGATGAAGCACAGAATCCTCGGCACTCATTGAGCGACTCTACAACCCAGCTCTACGGAGAGATTGTTCGCGAGGCCACCCAGATTTACATACACAGAGCGCGGATAGAGGAAGAGGCCAGCAACTTAAAGTTTCACAGCACCACTACCACTCTACAAGTACAAGTTGAACACAATCTAGTTTCAGCTACTGCAAACCCTACAACGTCTTGTCAAGTAGCTCGTATGCGGCGTCTCCTCGAACTGGTCGACCCCTCCTCGCCAGGGGCACACACAATTGCCTGGCCGGCATTTATGGCCGCCGCCGAAGCAACCAAGGAGGAGGATCGCCAGTTCTTCTGTGCTACGTTGGAGCGAGTCTGGGCCTCGACGCGGTATGCGAACGTTTTGAGAGGCCTTAACGCGCTGCCTATGATTTGGGAGAGACAACGGCATGGTGAGAGGTGGACTACTGTCTTGCCTCAGCTTAAGACCTTTGTTATGTGATTGATAGCAGAGCTCTTCCTTAAAGGTGACTCACATAGTTAATTATAATACTAATGACCAAACTTGAATACAGTAACCTCAGGCGGTCTCCTTATTCTTCACTCTTCCCGGCAAATGGCTTAGATGCTAACATGCCTTGTTGGTTTTAAAAAAGTATGTGAATTTCGCTTCATATAAATACACGCTTAGGCATCTTCTAATCTATCCCACTCCTTCTTCTAGTACTTCTCTCGTAAAACATCTAATTGTCACTGTCACATTCCCCGGGTCTAGGTGAAAGAAGCAGGCTGTGACTTCTCCCATGATCACAGCACCATCCTACTCATACAAACCCCCACTACAGCTTCGACAAAAATGCCGGCCTGGGGGGCTTGCCACTCAGATCGTCAGCCACCTCCTTGGCAACCCGCTGCCCGTCCTCGATGCCTCCATCCAGGAATCCTCTCCACCCCATAGCCCAATCTGCGCTACCGAACCAGATATTACCCTGCTTCTCGCGCAGCGCATCCAGGTACTTGCTGACTTGGTTTGGCTTGAGCCACTCCCACGCGCCCCTAGCGAACTCGTCCTTGTGCCAGTTGTGGAAGACGATGCGTTTGAAATCCTTGGTGTCCGTGTTGGGCAGCAGCCCCTTCCATGCCTCGATGGTCTCGTCGATGTTCTCCTCCGGCTGGAGATGCACGCCCGGCAGGGAGCTGCCGAACGCGACGAGGTGCGTGTTGCCGGCCGGGGTGGTGCCATCGCCAAAGGCGTAGGTCAGCTTGCCGTTAGGGTAGTTGTACGAGCCCAGCTCGCGGTGCTCGGGGCGGTCGACCTCGATGTGGACCTTGACGACCTGGTTACAGTGGCCCTCGAGGCTGGCCTGCTTCTTGAGGGGCAGCAGCGATGGGGTGAACTGGACGGTGTGCAGGACGTTGAGGGGGATGGTGCAGATGAGACGCTTGGCGCGGAAGATTTGGCCGTCGCGGCCGGTGACCTCGACGATACTCCCCTTATCATTAACGGAGGCTACGGGGGTGGAGAAGGAGTGGGAGAGGTTGCCGGTGGCGTTGGCCTCGTCGAAGATGCAGCGCTGCAGGCCGCTCTGGCCGCACGCGAGCTTGAAGCGGAGGCCGCGCTCCATGAAGTCGGTGTAGGTGTAGTTGGCGAGAGCCCACCAGCGGAGGATCTCGAAGAAGGAGGCTTCCTCCCACTTGGCGCCGCAGGTGATGGACATGAAGGCCTCGAGCATGAGCTTCTCGGTTGGCGTCAGGTCGTGCTCGATCTGCTTGAACCGGTCGGCCATGGACATCTTGTCGTAGATGGCGACGGCGGCGCGGTTGCGGAGGGCGTCGTGGGGGTAGGGGATGACCTCGCGGCCGTATTTGCCGTCAACATTGACCATCTTCTTCATGGCCGATTCGACCACCTCGTCTTCCTGCTGGCGGGACATGGTGACGGTGGGTTTGTCCTTGTTCAGGATGGCGCAGGTTCCCTGCTCGGTTGGCGAGACCTCGAGGTTGGTGCCCAGGAGGTTGTAGCGGAAGAGTTCTCGCCAGATGAATGGCTGTGCCCAATGGACCCAAGTACCGCCCATCTCATAGGGGTAGCCTTCGATGTTGGATGACCAGGAGCGCCCGCCGATTCTGTCACGGGCCTCGATGAGAAGGGTCTTGTGGCCCGTCGTGGTGAGGTCGCGGGCGGCTGTGATGCCAGTGTATCCCGCGCCAATGATGGCCACATCGTAGACAGTTCCCTTGACAGCTGTTGATGGAGGTTGAATGACACCGACGGTTGGGACACCGGCCTTGAGGCCAGTCTGGGGAGTCCACTGCCAGCCGTCGCGGCTGAGAGGTCCTGATGGCTTGCTCATGTTGGCAGATTCGGAACGGTGAAACTGAACAATTCAGATGATTAAAATTGATGAGAAGCTTTGATTTGCAAAAGTCAATGGACCTCACCATGGGCAAACGACACAAGCTTTATACCAAGAGAGCTTGTCCAGCCAGCTTCTCGTTTTTGTTGCCATTTCGGGTAATACTGATGATGGGTGACAGATTGTCGGAACGTCGGAACTGTCACTCTCTGTCGGAACCTGCAATCTTGAATCTGTGCCATGTCATTTTCTCACTTTCCATTCCCTTTTCGGTAATTCTCAGGACTCCACCAGTCATCGGCCAGATCCGACGAGTCATGAGCTTATTCCCCACTGCCTCAGAGATAACAGTTCCCGGGCTGATAAGGCGCGTTGCCAAAGACCAATAAACACTCTGCATTCCTTCCGATTCTTGATAACGGAAGCATATCAGCGGGTGTTGAAGGAGCAGTTCTAATAAGGAGCTGTTGATCCATGCCGTAGTTGAAATTCCGATAGAAATGGGGAAGTGTGAAATTGATTTCTGAGAACATAGAGTGTGTCATCACTAGCCTTCCCGCAGGCAGTCAAGCTTAGGACCTACTACTATTACTCTTAAAAAACCGAATTGGAGAACGGAATACCTTCTCAATTGCTTCACATTACGTCAAGGGCGATTTTAATTATTGATAGTAGCACTATGGGCTCGCAGAATTAGACTCAGTTATTTGATACAGGGTAGGCAGCAAGTGAGGTACGTATAAATATGGATAATCGCACAGCAGGGAGAGGAAGGTTTGAATTTGTTGATGTAAATTTAGAATAAATCACTGACTTCGTAATGTACAAATTTTCAGAAACCAGAATAGAATTTGTTCGTTGACTGGTGAGAAATTGACAAGTGCCGTTCTTGACTCAACATGATGATCTTTAGAACTAATCTAGTGACCAAGGTCTACGTCTCCCTCACGACTCCGTACTTGAAATCTTGTATAAGATAGAAAGGTTTACTCGCAGGGAGATGTGGAGCTAGCTATTCTCGGGAGAAGGGTTTTGGGTCGGCAACGTAATCCATCGTACCGCCCATGGCAAGGGTAAAAACCGGCTTGACATCCCCAGTAAGATGGTATGTGGGAGCCAAGAAATTTCCAGGAAATCCGAGGTCAAAAGGCGCCGCCCCATCAATCTCCTTGATATCCTCATCGTTGAGGCGCAAGGAAAGCGCGTGGATATTTTCCTTCAGGTGCTGGATCGTTCGGCAGCCAACGAGCGGGAACACGTACGTTGTCTTACTGGAAACGTATGCCTGCGCAACGTTGGTGATGATGGTGTTTTTACGGACAGCAACATATTCCAAGGCGTGGCTGACCTTGATGTCGTTCTCGGTCGGCTCGACTTTTCGGCCCCCACTGGCTGCTTTCTGACGCTGCTCCTCAGTCTTGAAGGCGCCTCCGCCCAGCACGCCCCAGGGGACGATGCCCATTCCCTCCTCGCGACACATCGGGATAATTTCGCGCTCTAGGTCGCGAATAGAGGCGTTCCATCTTCCCTGGTACACACTGAACTGGCGAAGACCATGATTTCGAGCATACTCGTTGGCTTTAGTGACAACCCAGGCTGGGGTATCGCTAATTCCAAGGGCGAGCACCTTTCCAGATACAACAAGATGATTGAGTGACTGCATCAGCTCGGGGATGGATACAGAGAAGTCCCACCAGTGCACATAGAGCTGTAAGAATGTTAGCTTTATTAATACTGTTATGCCATCTGGGTTTCCAAGAGTACTCGTCAACGTACCAGGTCAATGTAGTCAGTCTGCAGATTTTCCAAGCTGTTTTTGACCGACAGGTGAAGGCTTTTCGTACCATTGCCTTGAAAGTTTGGAAGGATCATCTCGTCGCCTTTGCCTGCGTGGAAGTTTGTAGTGTACTTAGTGGTAATGACCATCTGGTCGCGCACACCGCGCTTCTTCATCCACTCTCCAATCCATTTCTCGGACTCCTGGAACTGGTAGTTGTTGGAAGTGTCAACAAAGTTGCCACCCTGGCTATAGAAATAGTCCAGAATGCCCTCTGTGGTCTCCTTATCACAAGAACCCACTTGAAACTCGTTAGAAATGATTGACACAATGGGACTTCGAAATGAGACTGACTGTATTCCTTCCAGACATCTCCAAAGCTCATCCCACCTAGGCAGAGAGGGCTGACACGGATTGAAGCTGTGGGTGAAAGCAGCCGATAGCGGCCCAAGGGGCTCTTGGGAGGGGGAGCAAGAGGCATAAGGCTGGTCATTTTAAGCGTTTGTGATTTTGCTGTGTTTTGCTGTCAAGTGTTTTTTGTTGGCGGATTGGCTTGTTGGCTTGGCTGAATGAGTAGAAAAACGTGTGAGTCTGGCGGAAGATCACGCCTTTAAATATTTGATCGAGTCACTTCTGAGCTTCCAAGAACTACATCTCACGTGTACTGTCTGATATTCTTAATATGATGCTAAGGTCCACAGCGTGGACGTAGCCGAATGACCAAGCCCATACTGGGATCGCGTTGAGGCGGCGCTGGATAAGGCTTCAAACAGCATGTCCGCCGGGGTCATCCATCAAAAGGGTCCACCTCGTCCAAGAAAACCCGCCGTGCCCTGTTAGAAATGATCCCTTTTTGGATCGATATAATCGAATTGTTTTCTCGTTTTGGTTAATAGTCCTGCTGCTGGTTCGTGCAGCTTGATGGGCCTGCATTGGCCGGGTTCCTGGTCATAACATTGTCGTCGTATCCAGCATGAGTATGAGCTGATACTAAATCCGAGCCATTGTAAAGTCCATCCTAACGCCGATTGATTCCATGACTTATTGTGAAATGCCTTAGCTCTTGTAACTAGATCGCTGCTTGCGTAGGCAGTGCAGTACGAAATTTGGGATTTGTTCTGCCAGTGGGAAGTACCTCGCATCCCAACTGGAGCAAGATGGGGATGAAGTAGGGTTAGAAGCCCCGTAGCTAACGCAATACCAGTGAGCTTAGATTTTTCTGCTATCATTCAGACGGTGGGCTTGGAAAGAAATTGTATCTCATAATGTGTATATTCTTATATTCTTGTGTGAAATCTCTATCATATTCAGACTGCACGTCCTTCTACATTTCTGTGTCGTTTCGCGAGCCTCTGCCGGTATCGTGTGAACCTGATCTGGTGTCATCAGAACTTAATGGACTCCCCTGAAATTGATGCGGATTTTTGCCAGTGGCACGGTTTTCTTCATCAACAGTCGCCATGTCCACCTGGCTTCCGGTCTTTCCAATTCCCACAACTCCTTGAGCAGTGCCTGAACTCCGGCAGTTTGTGTTGTTCGTCTCTGAATGCTTTAGTGAAGTTCGGTTCGTGCTATCATCTGGATTCGTGTTGTTATGACTGTAACCGTAACTGTGCCCTGGAGCACGAGGTGATTTGTTCTGTGAATTGCCCACGGAATCAGACACGGTGACCCAGTGCAACACGAGTGTTGTGAAGAGGACTATGATTTTGTCTATTAGCGCCGTCGCGTCTAATTTGAAATGAAACTGAGGACTCACTATCGGTATTGCATATCATAAAACACATCCAGGCGGGTTCTCCGTTGAGGACCGTCATCATGACAATATTAACGACAGTAGACGTTAGTGTAGCAAGGGATCCAACAAAAGTTCGGACGACCATCTTCTTAAGCCTAGGATTATGATCATATGAGTGGAGATCTTTCCGCGTAGTATTAGCTTAAATTCGAATATAAGGTAATCTGAGGTGTCATACTGCGGATAGGGATTAAGAAGGTTGTTGTAAGGTATAAGTTGACGATGACTTCAAAGATGACCAATGGAATAAGCACAGAACGTTCCATCCCGATGATGCACATTCCATCATCCCTTAGGTATCCAATGCGGCGGATCATGTTGGCGACAGCGAGTCCGGCATAAGACACTGATCCCATTAGCGAGTTTAAATGAGCGGGAAGGTCCTTAGAATTACATACAGAGCATGCCGAAGCAGTTGAACAAATACAATTTGCTCTTCAGGCGTCTCTTTCCTCGACCCCGGACAATATGCTAGGTTTAGGTCAACAAGAATGAGGGGGGGCGGCGGTGTTCAGTAATACGAAACTTACGGCTTTCTCCACGAGAAACAAGTATATGAGGATCTTTGAAACAAAGTAAAAGACCAGACCTGCATGTGATACTATAAATATTTCCATCCCGCGACTGGAGATAATTGGACACTTACACAGAAAGATGCCGGCCTGGCAGACCGTATCAGAGGAGTTGATGCCGACGGCGTTTAGAAGCGCTGTAGACATGATGAATAGTAATGTGTCCGCGTATATCAGAAGCAGGATCCAGTAAGATAAGGGCAGTAAACCCCAGCGCCGGATGTTTTGTACTCGCCTGGTACCACATATCGACAAGACAATGAGGGACGCAATGTTCAAAATTAATGGCCCGACCCTCTTGCCGACCGGAAGGATCAGTCCCAAGGAGTCGTCACTCCTCAGGACATCTCGAAAGTTAGCAATGTCGATACTAGTCATGAGAATGGCTCAGATTCTACAGGAAGCAGGTGATGTAGAACGGAGGATCAGCACGCCGGAGAATTTTACAAATATACTAACTCGTCTCATCTGGTCTCGGGATCATTAGACTACTAAATTTCCATGCACTAGAGAGCGGAGATCGAGAGTTGTTCGTTGAGGATCGGAATCTGTTTTCAACTGACGCAAACCTTAACCAATTCCTTGATGATCTCGAACCACCGCTACCGACAGGGCCAGCAACTCTGCCTGATCCCTCCCTTTGCCCCCCCCCCCCCCCCCCCCCCATAAGCAGCATCGTATTTGCCAGAATTCTGCCGATTACTTCCCTGAAGTTATGTAAACTGCTTAAATCCCTTTTGGAGAGTGTTGAGCTGTTACATTGGTGGCGTGATCTGACTGATGTCAGAGCTGTGGTCTGGTGATAACATTCTCTAATACGCTTTTGCCATCTACTTTTGGGCTTGGACGCTAAAGACGCATTCTTCCTTGGTGAGGGTGCTAGTCCTGAGAAATTCTCCGATCAGTTTCTAAACGCCGTAAATCTCTGGTGGCTTGAAGGAGCATTCCAGTGTCTCCCCACAAGAGGTGAGGTGAGAGCCCAATGGGACTTCGAGCCATCTAAGATTTCGGGGGCTAGGGGGCTGTTTCTTGTGGCCTTCATTACTTGTACTACCAGAATACCATCTCATCTCAATGACCTAACATACCTCTAGGGCTCTCTAAAAGCAGCGTGTGGTTTGATCCTCTCGCCAAGCTGTTGTAGTCGGCTCTCAGTGCCAAGACCGAACCTGGAGCCAGATTGAGATTAGTTTGCCAAGCGTGGAATGATCTCCATTTTGGCTTTAGCGGTTTCTTGTCGTGGGTCCAACCCAAAGCAGCAGTCGATTGCTCCTTGTCCCTGGTTTCTCCTTCACCAGGGAACTGATAGCTGTCGGGAGTCAGAGTTGAAATTACTTCACGAGAACGAGGAAAAGGCATGCAAAGTCCGAGGCACTCATTGCGCCTTTTCTGTTTCTAACAAGCTGAGATATTTGAAAGACATATGTCTGGACCTGTCAAAGTTCTGGGACAAAACCTGGACTAGGTATTGACAGATTGGATGAGGCGGCAGCAATCACCATGGCATGTATGCATGCTCCTCGAACGTGGGGTCGTTCTACGTGGAGCCTGAGCTGCTGGCCATATAAATCGTCCCATTCGCTATGTTTTCAAGTAAACAGGTCCGGCAAACTCCACGCTCTGCACCCTTATTCACCCGTGGAAAGCCTCCCCATAGCTTGGTTTAAGTACAAAGAAAGCGACTTAATAAGTTGATCTTCCACCACACCATTAGACCATGTTATTGAAAGTGTTAGAGGACCGCCCCTGACCGAAGCACAATTCACTGAGAAGGCATGACCAGTTACAGAACCGCTTTGAGTCATCATCAGACGTCGGAGCACCATGGGCTTCGCATCTGGACCAGTGCTTGGATTCTGTCCAACCCCGAGATTGGATATTTCGTAGCTTTTGGTCCTTCGCTTACCCAATATCCCCAAGGCCGACTTGCGAAACTCGATTGCATCTGGAACTTCGCGTAGCTCATCAATATAAGCAGAGGCGGCCATATCCCGCGCCATTGACGCGCTAAAACCTCTCGCGATTTTGATAACATGTTCCATCTCCTCCGAAGACTGAGGCTGCGTCTTCCGTATCGCGACGATATCAGATTCAGGAACATACATCGCCATAGATGCCGCGTGAAATGCAATATCATGTGCGCTGGTCTTGGTGAATTGACGCAACGAATATGGCGTGACCAAGCGAAAACCGGGCGCTTCCGTGATCTCTCTGCTCAAGAATACGCAGATGAGACCATGAAGATACCCTGTCAATGTAATGCCCTGGCTCTTGCAAAATTTGAGCGATAAACTCAAGGTTTCGGGTGGTACTATTCCCATGTGAACCCTGGATCGATATCCGTCCCCTGGCGGTAGAGATATTACATCTCCAGGCCATGCTGGTTGATTACCAGGTGTCGGAGGCTGTTCACTCTCCGACCTCTGCGGATTCTTTAAGTCGATGCGTTCCTCCACTAAATTGGGTGGTGAGACATCCCAGTCGATAACCAACGGCCATTTCACGTCTGAAGATGCGTCAGATATCAGTGAAAAATGCTTCATGATTGTATTCTGAAATGCCAAGCCGCTGAGCCCATCGGCTATGGCGTGATGAAAAACAAAGGCAATATCAAATCTGCGCTCTTCGAGTGCTTCCGAACCACCCTGGACAGCCTCACCAGAAAGAGAACTTTCAGTAGGATGGTGAATAACGATCATTCTCCAGGCAGGCTTCCCAACAGGCCAAAAACTGGTGTGCGCTTTTTCTAGGCGTTCACGAAGTACGTTGTCCGCCGCTGACTCTGATATCTCCTCGCTTGACGCTTCAGAGGAATGATCGATCGATTCGATTAGATCATCGCGATAAACTTCCTTGAAGCTTGCGAAAATAGTTTGGCCGTCATCGTTAGTCTGATTAGACAGACCGTAACAGAGCGCCGGATGTTCTCGAATGGTAGCTTGCACGCTCGCGTCCAATTTTTTCTCAAGATCAACCTTCCACAAGCTGGAAGAGTAAATACCTGTGACTGCAACGGATCTGTAGTAGCCAAGATCATGGGCAATGGTAAACATCCGGCCACATATGCCTAAAAATACAACTCAGTTAGTGACAGTTGCTATTGCCAGATTCTGTCCCCCAAAGGTAGGGTAGAAATAAAGGCGAAGGGGACATGAAAATACCAAAAGTGGAAGTCTTTTGCTCAGTCATGATGCGCACGCGCTGTCACCAACTTGATGCGATTTGTTTGATGAGGAGTTGCGGGGAGGAATGACGATGATGAACTGTCAGATTCCTCTTCGATGGCGTATTAACACTCGACGGCTGACAAACAAGGTGGGTCTTGAACATCTTCAGCGGTTCCAGTACCCGTTTGCTTATCTACTCCTTTATTATAAATCCGGATAAATAGAGGTGTTGTGTAGAACTCTGAAACAGTTAAGCTGCGTCTTTGAAAAAATTTGAACACAAATCTAACAATCGTTTGATCGCTTTACATAGCTGAAGTTACTATCATTCTCTATAGAGCGATAATGAAATAATGTTCTTATAAAGGATAATTCAAAGAACAAGTCAGTCTCCAGGCGTCTCGCAATAGGCAATTGTTGCAATCCGCTGCTGGAAACTACCATCACAGCTGACCTACCATGTCAGACTAGTTTGTAGATGCACAAGTTATTGCTCAAAGTCAAGAGACTTATAAATGAGCAGAGATGAACAAAAATCAGGGTAAAGAACTGATAAACTAAAACTGGAGAGCATCTTTCATTGCCTCTAAGGCGGCGAACAGATTATTGTCATGATACTTCCTAGCGCAAACCTGGATGTCAATGGGAGCGCCCTCAAAGTCACCTTCAGCCCATAGCTGTCTGACGTGCTTGCATTCTTCACTCAATGGTGTCTGTTTGTCTTCTGGATAGTCCTCAGTGCCCTTCTTGCCCGCCTTGAATGGGGTCGGGAGGCATACACCAGGACAGTCGACATAATTCCAGAACGCCGTGTAGTTCCAGTAGAAGGCCGTTTCATGCGAACAAGCCGGACCGACGAAAGCCGGGCTAATTACCACATCAACGTCCTGTTCCGTCCAGTGACTTGAAAACTCTGCACGAAACAAGTCCCTGGTTACTCGTTGTCGCAATACCCCAGCGGTGCCGATGTCATCTCCTTCAGCATCTTTGATGATCCATTGAGTTAGAGGAAGCATGGGCTCTCCAGTGCTGGCAAAGTGAGCCTTGACTGCCTTGCCCCCATCGGGCCAGTAAGCGAGGCGGATGTTCTTCATTGCCTCTGCCACCTTGAACGGTTTAAACTCCTTCACCTCGAACGAGCCAGTCTTTTCTAACTGAGCCTTGGCCCACACCAAAGCTTTGGTGACCGGCGGCTGCGGTTCAATCACACCGTCATTCATCATGAAGCCAATCTTCAGTGACGACTTCTTTGCACCACTCAACCCTGTCCAAGGAATTGGAATAAGGCGCGGGTCGCTCAGGTACGGCTTCGCATCTGCCAGAATCCTCATAAACAGATCCATATCACGAAGAGATGTACACATTGGCCCAGTCGAGCACAAGACATTTAGCTCGGCCCCAAAACCTTCCGGCAGGAAGCCCGACATGGGCAAGGTGTACGAGGTCGGCTTGAACCCATATATGCCACAGACTCCGGCAGGACATCGTACACTGCCTCCAATATCTGTCCCAACACCAAGAACGGAACCTCTCATCGCAATCAGAGCAGCCTCTCCGCCTGTGGAACCACCTGCCGTGAGGTTGATGTTGAAAGGGTTCAGAGTGCGACCCAAGGGTGACACTGTTTCCAAGTGCATAATTGACTGCGGCTGGAGCGTTTTGCAGTAGAAGACGGCACCTGCAGCCCTGAGGATAGCCATCATCTGGCAGTCCGCAGTGTCTAAGACCCTGGTATCCCAATATCCAGTCGCAGAATAATGCCCTGCTAGTGGCATGTGCTCTTTGATACTAACGGGGACGCCGTGAAGAGGCCCGACTGTCTTCCCTGTCTCTTCGAGATGGCGATCGAGTGATCGAGCGCGCTCAATCGCCTCGTCCATAAACCAGTCAACTAGGCAGCATGTTACCTGATGGGCAATAATTGCTCGTTTGGCAAAAGCCGTCGCAACCTCGACGGCTGTCAGTTTTTTACTAGCAATACCCTCAGCAAGTGCTACTGCATCATACTGATCAGTAATTTCAAGATCCTTGGCTGATAAGATGCCGCATTCTTGGGGGATATTCGACACGTCTTTGGGTGGATCATCAATTAAAGCTTGTGGCAGCCGGAGTTCCAATGGGACTTTGGCTGCAAATTCATCCCGAGCTATGTCCTTCAGCTCCTCAAAGGCTGGAGTGCCTTTTGGCAGTGAAAGATGACTGCTCTTCGGCTGGACGATGGACAAAGAGGCGGTAGGCATTTTGCTTCCGGTATAATGTGCTACTAAGCTTCATTGACATAGGTAGAGATAAGGCGTATGCCAGGGGGATCTCTCCAAATATGAGTGAGTCGGGGGCATTATAGGATGTGAGGACTGCTTAACTCAACATAAAAGAGATGGAGGAGCTTCAATATACATCTAGCTATGTTTGTATTAGTTAGTGACACATGACGTGTCGGGTATCTTGGCCTCATCGCGCACCTTTTGGCGAGGTTTCAATGTGGTGGGGATTTGTCCCCGAAAGATAAGAGCTAGGATCATGGGTTCAGACTTTGGGTTCAGTTGCTTCTTCGAATTGTACCAAAGCCCAGTCTTCTTAAACTTGAAATATGTTGGTTCTCTGACATGTAATTGATCTAGGTTGCGTGGCGAAATAACCCTCTCAAGCAGACAAAAACCAGTACAACTGAATATAGGGACTTAGCTGCCTAGATGCTCCAGTATTAGGTATCCGTCTATCATTCTGAATTGTGACCCCCTGCAGACCTCGCTTACACGACCTTATCAACGGGCCCTCTATGGCCAGGATACGCAAGTTGATAACGTATGGCTTGTGATGTCAGAAGTGTGGGCCTGAGTAGCATTTGACCACCCCCGGTTTCGGGTATAAAAGTCCACGGACTTGGGGAGGCCGATATCTCTAACTCAGGGCTTTGAATATGGTGAGGGGAAAAGTGAGATAACCGACTGGCTGCTACTTAGGATACACTAGCAAGCTCAGCGGAGTCTGAAGGCCGATCGCCGACTTTCGGTACAGGATCGGATGGAAGGATGATCATTAATAATAGATAACGCTGTATCACCTTCTCAACCCCTCTTTCTGTTGAACAATGACATGAAGTTATCGAGGATTATCGCCGGGAAAACCGACTAGCCCGTTACGTTTCATAGACCCCCTTGCAGTTGTGTTGGGGCGAGACACTACTCGAATTGTAGATATAAAATGGGCGGAATCAGTTACGCGTAATCTCCCTTAGGTGAGACTTACTTTCCCCCCTCTTCAAACATTTCATCTACACGCAAGCAAAACTAATTTATTCCTCGTCAAGTTCCGAGTACTAGTACATTGTTAAGTCAACAATGGCGAAGTCAAAGGACCAAGTTGCCATTCCTGGCACTGTGCACCTCGTTGATATGCCGGGGCAACATTCATCGGGCAAATCAAAGGGTGGCATAGAGCTCATTCCTCGACCAAGTGATGACCCCGAGGATCCACTGAACTGGACCCCGCGACGAAAGAAGCTCTCTGTACTCATGGTTCTCGTTTACACTCTCGGTGTTGGCCTGCCAGGCACGCTCCAATATTCCGTCCTGGCCGACATCACCAAAGATACCGGCATCTCTACAGCAGCGCTGGTCCAAGGCACTGGTGTCATGTTTCTGTTCCTTGGCTGGGGTTGTCTAATATGGCAGCCGATTGCGTTGACGTATGGCCGTCGCTGTGTGTACCTCATCTCTACCCTGGTGGCAGTCCCTCTCATGGTATGGACTGCCTACTCGCGCTCGGCAGGGGAATGGTACGCTCATCGGACCTTGCTTGGTATTTTTGTCGCACCGATCGAGTCCCTCCCGGAAGTGAGCATCCCCGACGTGTTTTTCGCCCATGAACGTGGCTCATGGATGGCTCTTTATGTGTTCGTTCTGTTCGGCTCCAACTTCCTGGCTCCTCTTGTCGCGGGATGGTTTGCTGAAGCCTTTGGTTGGAGATGGACTATGCATTTTGGTGCCATGGTCGCTGCCGTCTCCTTTGTCATATTGTTCTTTTTTATGGAGGAGACGATGTATGTTCGTCAGACTCTTGAGGGGTTGGAGGAAGACAGTACGGATGTAACAACGAGCGACATGCCACAAGACGGTTCTGTGGACTCAAAAGAAAAGACATCTGGACAAGGAGATAAGAATGGCGCTGAAACTGCCAACGTGCACAACGGGTCTGTTTTCTCACCCCCGAAAACATTTGCACAGAAGCTGGCGCCATTTACGAGGCCGTCCAGCCAGCGTGCTAACATCCGAATGTTCAAAGCCATGTTCACTCCCCTTGTCTATATTGTGCAGTTCCCCTCAGTTGCATGGTCAGGATTCATTTACGGCATCAACCTTTCCTGGTACAATGTGCTCAACGGGACTGCCAGCCCGGTATTAAGTGCAGACCCGTACAATTGGTCAACCGGCTTGGTTGGATGTATCTACACCGGGCCAATTGTTGGTGCTGCTATTGGAACGCTATGGTCCGGGATTGTTGCTGACCGGTTTACCCTCTATCTTGCTAAGCGAAATAATGGAATCCGTGAGCCTGAGCAACGGCTGTGGCCCCTGGCTTTATCTGCCATTATGTCGTGCGTAGGACTCATCACCTGGGGCGTTGGGGCGGCACATGATATTCACTGGGCGGGACTGGCGATTGGTCTTGGGATACTGACATTCGGCTGTGTTACTGGTGGTTCAGTTGCACTGTCATACAACATTGACTGCTTCAAAGACATTAGTGGAGAGACGACCACATCTATCATCATCATTCGGAATACCTTGGGCTTTGCCATCTCTTACGGAATTACGCCGTGGTACACTAACATGGGCTTGCAAAATTGCTTCATCATGGCGGGCTTTCTTGCGTTGGGATGTACATCTACTTTCTTACTGATGATTTGGAAAGGAAAGGCACTCAGGAAATGGTCAGCTACGAGATACTGGAAGTATGCGGAAGATAGCTTCGGCCATTCTTAAACCTAGCAATGTATGCGCAATGGGAAAACCGTCTGCA